ACTTGAGCCACAGGCGCCAAGCCAACAAAATTTTTTTAATGTGGCAATTTTTGATCCTCCCCATAGAGGCGTCTAGCCTGTTCTGGGTGAGGATGCTTTCTTGGGGTCCCATGTTAGTTGTCTGATGTAGTTAGTGAGTGTGTAGGTGGGAAGCCAGGGCTGGATACCTCCAGAGCCCCTGGGGGCAACATCTGGTCTGTACATTGAGAACCTTAGCTTTGTGCCAGCCCCTAATGGGTGTTTCTGGAATGAGTCCAGGAAGCAGACCTGCATCCTGGAGGTGGAGTGTTGACCAGGCCTGGTCACCTGTTCGCCTTGACACCTGCCTGTGAAGTGCTGTAGTGGGCAGGGCTCTGGCTTAGACACAGGTGAAAATATGTTTTAGGACCCACGCAATCCTACTTGGGTCCAGATTTGGACCACCTGCCATGGGGTAGGCATGGGGCCCTGCTAGAGAGGGTAAGGATGAGCTGGGCATGTGTTCACACTTGCCAGGGAAGAGACTGAAGCCCTATGAGTGAGGCTGGGGTGCAAGTAGAGGGCCTAGCAGGAGTAAGGTGCTCTTGTCTGGAGTCAGACTCTGTGCAGGAAGCTCCTTGGACCAGGGCACAGTGTGAGCAGTTGGGAGTGGGTGTGTGTTTGGCGGCCACATTGCTGAAAAATACTTTGCTTTAGTGGGTTTTCTTGGTTTCAGTAGTTTTAGTACTTTTAAAAATGTATAAACATTGTATTGAAGTTGAATATACAGAAGCGTGTACACATTTCAGGTATATTTTTGGTGAATTTGCACGAAATGAACAAACTCTTGGAACTAGTTTCCAAATTAAGGAGCCCCTCTTGGCAGCCCCCACCAGTCACCCTCCTCACCCAAGGGCCTACTTCAGACCTCCAGTGTGTGGTAGCACTTCCAGGTTTAACAAGATGGGAGTGGGGCCTGTTATATGTGCGCCCCAGTGTCTAGCTGGTGTTCTGTTTTGTGGTATCCCATAGTTTATCTCTCCTATCCATGGAAGGCATTCGTGGTGCTGTGAACATGCTGGCCAGGCACAGGCTCTGACAGGTGTCTGACCATTTTTGTCGGGTGTGCACCCCTCAGTGCACTGACTGTGGCAGTTGTCAAGTGCACCCCAGTGTGCGCTCTTGCCTGCGGGGGCAGTGGCTGAGGTCCCAACGCTTTATAGCCTTAGCAACATTCCATATTATGCGTGTTTTCCCTTTGAGCTGTTCTGGCTAGTGGGGATATCTCCTTGTGGTGTTTTTAGTTGATAGACTTTGTTTTGGACAGTTTTAGGTTTATTTATTTATTTATTTAGAGATAGAGTCTCACCATGTTGCCCTTGGTAGAGTGCCATGGCGTTACAGCTCACAGCAACCTCAAATTCTTGGACTCAAGCGATTCTTTTGCCTCAGCCTCCCATGTAGCTGGGACTACAGGTGCCCACTGCAACGCTTGGCTATTTTTCTGTTCCAGTTGTCATTGTTGCTTTAGATGGCCTGGGCCAGATTAAACTCACCAGCCTCCGTGTATGTGGCTGGCGCTCTACCCACTGAGCCACGGGCGCTGCCACCGGTTATTTTTTTGTTGTAACTGTCATTGTTGTTTGGCAGGCCCAGGTTGGGTTTGAACCGGCCAGCTCTGGTGTATGTGGCTGGCGCCCTAGCTGCTGAGCTACAGGCACCAAGCCAGTTTTAGGTTTATAGAACAGTTGGGAGGAAAGTACAGAGTACCCACGTGCCCCTCCCTATGCTCTCCTGTTATGATGTCTGGCACCAGGGTGGTATATTCCTGTTATAAATGTTGTATTTATTGAGACATATAATAGTTTATGTGCAGTGATGGTCACCCCTTTGAGGGTGCAGTTCCATGGGTTTTGATGTTATGTAAGCACCACAGTCCAGACATAGAACCTTCTATAACCCCAGAAAGTCCCCAGCTCTCACAGTACTGCCCTGTCTGCTGGCCCTGCAGTTTTGGCTTCTTGGAATGTTCTGTGCCTGGAATCACATAATTTGTAGCCTTCTGAGTCCAGCTTCTTTTGCTCAGCACAGTGCATTTGGGACACATCCATGTCACTGCAGGAGGCAGTTATTGGTCCCTTCTTTCTGCTAAATAATATTCTGTCATGTGGGTGGACCTCAGTCTGTTATCCACTCCCCTGTTGAAGGACACTGGGGTTTTTTTGGGTTTTGCATTATGGATAAACCTGCTGTAAACAGTGGCTTTTGCATGAATGTGCTTTCATTTCTCTTGGGTAGATGCTGGGAGTACAGTTGCTGGGTTGTGTGCTAAGTGCCTGTAACCTCCCTCTTCCGAAGAGTGTGGGCCTCTCCCATCTGTTGGCCCACGTGGCTGAAAAGTGGTGGCTGGTATTGGCAGCACCCAGCCACCCATCAGGACTCAGGGTGGGGGCAGGAAGGGTACTGAGTTCCTGGTGCTTCCCAGGGCCACATGTGGGTTTTATGTCGCTGGAAAAAGCTGTGGCCACCCACCAAGGACATAGGCCTTTCTGATGCTAGAAGGTGTCCTGTAGGAGGCTGGACAGGGCAGTTTGGCATTTATATGGAGGGGCAGGGAAGCCACATGGATGCTCTTTGACATGTGGGGGGGCTTGTGGGCAGGGGCTGCAGCTATAACCATCTCTCTTTCCACCCTCCAGTGCGGCATTGTCCTGGGGGCCCTGCTCTTGGTGTTCTGCTCCTGGATGACACATCAGTCCTGCATGTTCTTGGTGAAGTCCGCCAGCCTGACCAAGAGGAGGACCTATGCTGGCCTGGGTAAGACTGCTCCTGGGGCCTGGGACAAGGTGCCTCTAGACAAGTGTGGCACTTGGAGCTGGGGGGTGGTAGGGTCTAATTCCTTCCAGTTTTTATTTTTCTTCTGCTTTATTCTTAAAGAGTTTCTTGGACAGCAAGTTTTAAAATGTTAATGTGATTTTTAAAAGATTTAATGTAATGTGTCACTCCAGCAAAATTGAAGTGGCACAAAAAGGTGTGAGTTGCTGAGGCCACCCCTGCCCCAGTCTCCCTTGCAGGCAGATTAGAGCAGAGTTCCCCTTCTCATTCCAGGCTGAGACAGCTATGCTCATGGTTGCTCTCTGTGGCACCCCAACATCCCCCCTTTTGGGGAGAATCTTGCTGGGCTTTCCCAGTAGAATTCTAGGAGGAAACGAGGTCCAGGCTGTAGCTTGGACCAAGTAAGCATCTCCCCCCGGGTTTTTGTCTTTTTCCTGATACTGTTGGCTGCAATTATGTTTCCTTCAGTTCCTTCTTCCTTTAACAGAATTTTAGCCAGGAGAGAAGGATGTCCTTTCCTCTTCCTTCAGTTTGGAATGTTTTCTGGACTGCCTCACGGGTACTGCCCCTGCTTTCCTGTGAGTCCCCTCTCTGCCTTATTCCAGGCTCTCTGACCATTAGTGTTGCATTCCCTTCCAGGGGTGTTCATGTGGGTGTTGAAATACCAAAACGTGTGTTCTCGAGTTGGCCCTGTGTGTTTTGGTGAAAAGTCCTGGCCTCCTGATGAAGCTTCTGTCTCCAGCCAGTGTGTGGCTGGGACACTGGGTCCTCCCCACGGAGGGCCGGCTTGGTCTTCAGCTAACAGCAGAATGAGGAGCCCGGGGCAAGAGGAAAGGCAGTACAGCGTTTCACAGTCACACCTGCATGGGCTCCCTGTTTCCCTGTCCACTTTGCATTGCCACCAAAAATCCAGTGTTTGTTTCTGCCTCTAAACCAAAGGGTAGCTTTCCTCCCAGTTCTTTCCTGGTGAGGGTGGGGCCATCAGAGTCTTTGATTGTTGTCAGTTGGGGCTTTGAGGCTGGCCAGCTAAGTCAAACCACAGTGAGGCAGCCTGGATCAGCACACAGTGAAATGTGTGTGTCAGAGACACGGAGGCCAGTGCTTGGGTAGGCCCTCCCTGGTCTGCAGCTGCAGGGTGCTTGAAGGCCCCTTGTCTGCTGGGTCTGTGGCCATCGGCCACTGTAGGGGTGAGGAGATTGGCAGATGTCCTTTGTCTGCACCTGGAGACCACACGGATGTTGTGGGAGATTCTCAGAGTGGCAGGCCTCTCTCTAGTGGGGAGCCTGTTGATGGGGCGCCCCACAGAATGGCTCAGTGGCTTTTTCCTAATGACATCTGCCACTGCCAAGACATGTGCTTCCCTTTGCGGCTACTTCTCAGGTGACTTGTGAAGGGGATTGCTTACTACTTCACTACCCTGGCTCCTGCAGTGCTGGAAGAGGCAGCTCTGGCCTTTTGAGAATTACAGTCCCCATGGTGTCCGGCTCCCATTTTCAGAAGATGAGCACCTGTGTCATGTGTTCAGCCTCCTTAGCCACCCTGGCCCCATGTGAAACTGCTCTAAGCCTGACCCTGCCTGCTGAGTGTTGTGTCCTGAGCCCCAGGGTGCATGGTTAGGAAGCCCTGCCTCCTCTTCCCTCTCCTGCCTGTGTAGGGCAGGTAGGACCTGGTGGATGGGTGCTAGAAGAGGCCCTGCTAAGGGACGGTGGGTGTGGGGTTGGCCCAGGCAGAGAGTTCAGGGGCCACACTGTGGCATGGGAAGCTGTCCTGGGACCAGAAGGAAATGCTGCTTTCCACCAGTCCTCTGACTTCCTCCCTAGCCTTCATCTTCCTGCATCCAGGATGCAGGTGTGTTCCAGAATCTTCCTGGGTGGGGTGCACATGTGTTTGGGATATGCTGTAGATTCTGGCCTCTTTTGGGAGAACAAAAAGGAACAATTAAGGCTAGAGCACCACCATGTGTGGGGCCCAGGGTTCGCGCTGTGTCTGTGGGTGCTGTCACTGAGAGTGGGGCCTCTGGGGCCAGCAGCCTTGGGTAGTGGCTGCTCATGAGCACTCTGAACAGCCCAGTGTAGACATTGATCAGCATTCCTGGATCTGGCAAGGGTTTTGGCTTGTTAGGTGAACTTGAGGGTTCCAGGCTCCTTGACCAGCAACAGCAGCAGAGGATCTGGGGAGGCTGGAGTGGCCCTTGGAAGCAGACCCTTTGCTGCTCCCAGGGCCAGCAGGATGTGGCTCTTCCTATGGAACTTAAAAGTCACAGGGAGTGGTTTTGGACTCCTGGTATCCCACTGGCCTATGTGTTTCCTGCTTTCCATAACTTGGGGAAGACCTCTTGCCCCTGTGTGAGGGGAAGTAGGGCAGGAAGCCGTCCTGCTGGCAGGCTGCAGCTATTCCCCCCGCTGCTCCTTGGACATCAGGATGTCCCTGTGCCCTGGCCGGGCTGTGGGGCAGGCGCTGGGGTTACCAGGTCACAAGTAAGGTCTTAGGAGGGGCCTTGCTGAGTTTAAATTCTCATCAGTAGAAATATTAAAAATAGTTGTGTTGTCTGACTGTGTCCTTCCCTCAGTAGGAAGTGCCGTGTCATGGGATGTCTGCTCCGTTAGCCAGGCTCCCTGACCGTCTACTTTGGGCACTGTGGAGCCAGGGCTCTCCTTCCTGCCCATCCCAAAGAGCTGCACTTGAAAGGATACTCTAACTTTCCTTTTGTAAATGGCAACAGAGAGAAACCCTGAAGGCTTCCCGCAGAGCCCCTTGGTGCAAGTTGTGGAGATTGGAATTCTGGCCTGGACCCAACCCTCTGGGCACCTGGGGCTGCTGGGTGTGGGCAGCTGCTGCTTTGTGAAGACGTATCTTGCCCTCCATTAAAAAAAAATTTTTTTTTTTTTTGCAGTTTTTGGTCAGGGCTGGGTTTGAACCCACAACCTCCAGTATATGGGGCCTGCACCCTTCTCCTTTGAGCCACAGGCACCGCCTTAAAAAATATTTTAAGTGAAAAAACAACCTGCTTTGTGTCTTTCCCTTGCTTTGCTCTTGTTTTATGTGGTTTTGTTGTGGATGGTATATCCCCCTGATACATGGGGGCCAGAATTTAAAAACACCTCCACACCTGGGATGCTTCAGGCTAATGTGGTCTATGAAATAGGCCTCTGCAGCCTGGCCCAGCCACTCCAGGCCTCAACGCTATCAGACTGACTGTCCCTCTCTCTGCACTAGCGTTCCATGCCTATGGGAAAGCGGGGAAGATGCTGGTGGAGACCAGGTAAGTGCCACTCTGCTCCCCATGTCCCTTACCTGCAGCTGGGGCACCTGGGGGCTGTTCTGAGTGAACAGCTGCAAAGGGGAAGGCCTTGCACCTTACGATGTGCTTCTGAAGGGTCACTTCTTGAGTAGCAGATTTTGCTGGACCCTTATGGCAGCTACAAGCAAGATTGCAAGCCTTCCCTAAGTCTTACTGTGACAACTTGCGACCGTGCTACCTCAGTTCTAGTCTTGGTGCTGGTCCTCACACAGCGTGCCCGCCCCAAACACTGCTGTGTACAGGTGGCGTTAAATTGAAAATTTCATAGTTTCCATTCTTTGGAGTAAGATTTTTTTTTTTTTTTGGGAGATAGAGTCTCATTATGTTGTTCTCAGTAGAGTACTGTGCCGTCACAGCTCTCAGCAACCTCAAACTCTTGGGCTTAAGCGATTCTCCTGCCTCAGCCTCCCAAGTAGCTGGGGACTACAGGTGCCTGCCATAATGTCTGGCTATTTTTTGTTATTACAGTTGTCATTGTTGTTTAGCAGGCCTGGGCCGGGTTCAAACCTGCCAGCTTTGATGTATGTAGCCAGCACCGTAACCACTGTGCTATGGTGCTGAGCCTGGAGTAAGATTTTTTTGACATGAAAAAATTGCTGGGAAATTGCATATTTAGACTTTTAAGTTAGGGAATTAAAGACTCCAAAGAACAACTTTTTAAAGCAATTGATTGTTCTTTTAACTCATTTAACATTGAGAGCCTACTGTGGAGTGAAAATCTAGTTCTCTATAAGAAAATTTCAATGTTATTCAATATTCACTTCAAGTAAATAGTGAACTCCACAGAACTTACCCCTCCTGGTTGGCTGCTGACCATCTGTCCCCCAGCCAAGCCTGGGGTGGCCATGTGTCTTGGTGGTGTGCAGTTGGGCTTGGTGCTCAGCGCTCCCAGTAGCTGAGCCCTGTCAGATTTCTGGGAGAACAGAGGTGGCTTTCTGGATTAACCACGTCATACCTGTGACTCACTTCATAGTATGATCGGGCTGATGTTGGGGACCTGTACCGCCTTCTACGTTGTCATCGGTGACTTGGGGTCTAACTTCTTTGCTCGGCTGTTTGGGTTTCAGGTAAGGACATTTTCAGGAGTTCTTTTTTAACCAGTTGCTTGTAGTTGCTTCTGTGGCAGCTGGGGTGACACCCCCATGAACCCCAGCCAAGACCAACACGGTTTGGTCAGGAGAGGCTTCTATTGTGCCTGTGGTCAGCTCTGGTTCTGTGGGCTGGAGTGCCACTGGGGAAGTGCCTGGGAGAGGGAGTGAGAGCAGGGGGACTCAGCCATGTGGGTCTGACACCCAGCAAAGCTTAGGGCAGCCTGAGACCCAGGTAGGCCAGGGCTCTTCTCAGCTAGCCTGCTGCTCCTGCCACTGAGGGCCCTCCTGTGACCTGGCCCGGCACACCTTTATTCCCCCCCAGGGAAAGGGCTAGTTGAGGGGCACACTGGCAAATGGGCTCCCAGGCTGGGGTGCTTGCAGCACAGAAAGGCCCTTCAGTTTTAAGATTTGTATGTTGTCAGAGAATCTTAGAAATGCCTGTGAGCATGGCCTCGGTCTGTATGTTGCTATTTCTTCCTGTTTGACTCTTCATGGTTCAATGTTGTGCTGTGAACTCGGTAGAGCTCTGGGTCCCTCCTGCACACAGGACACACCTTTCCTGTACCCACTGGCCTATGCCCTACGTGCAGTACCTCCACTTTGGATTCTGAGGGTGCTGGAGGAGGTAGTGCTGGCAGCCACTGCCGCCCATGAGGCCCATACAGCTCCCGTGAGAACAGGCCTCTGGGCTGTCCAGTGCTTCCTGAGCCACCTCCCACCCACACCCTCCGTCTCCATCTGACAGTGTCGAGTCCACTGTGCCTGGACCAGTTGGTGTGGCTTTGGGAGAAATAGTAGGCATCTGGGACTATGCAGAGAGTGTGAGGGCCGTTTTGAAGGGTCTTGGCAGGGCTCTAACTGCCTTCTGCCTGGGCAGGGAGCTCTAGGCATGAGCTGCAGGGGCTCACTTGAGTGTTCCGGGCCTTTGTGTGTTATGCTATAATAAAGTGTAGTGTAGGGTTTTTGATTAATTTTCTGGACTATAATTTCAAGACTCCTGTCCTTGAAGTGGGGTTAGCTCTGAGTTTATACAGGACAAAGAGGTGCCCTGCAGTGGGCGCTTGGGTTCCTGTGGCCCCCATTGGTGCTGAGCTGGGGTTGTTCCTGGTAGCACTGAGCACATTGGCTCCCACCATGCCTCTTCATGGGTCCAGGGGGAGAGTTGTCCCTCTTCTCCAGCTGGTCTTGCTCAGGGCTGGACTAGACCCTTCAGGGCCCACAGATGGTGCACTGAGGGGCCACTCAGCACAGTGGCTGTGAGAGCCTGGACTGGGCCTCGTCATCTCTGTGCTCCTAAGTACTGTGGGCTCCTGGGCCTCAGGGTGCTCCCTGTCCCCTGGCCATGGGGACAAGCCCCAGCTGGGGAGGGAGCTCAGTGCTTTGGCCCAGGGGATATTGCCGGCTTCCCTGCAGGTGACTGGCACCTTCCGTGTGTTCCTGCTCTTTGCGGTATCCCTGTGTGCTGTGCTGCCCCTCAGCCTGCAGAGGAACATGATGGCCTCCATCCAGTCCTTCAGTGCCATGGCCCTCATCTTCTACACTGTGTTCATGTTTGTGGTGAGTCTGTGGAGGGCTGGTCCTGCTGAGTCTAGTGTCACTGTGCTGGGGCATGATGAGATCCGGGCCCACAGCCTGGGGACTGCTGGGAGCACCACTTGTCTCCTGGACCTGGCACTGCCAGGTGGAGGCAGAGAGTGTGGGTGGGAGGTTGCTCTGAGGCTCTGGGAGTGGGTAGCATGGAGTGTCCCTGTTTTATGGAGAGACATTTTCTGTGAGATAGTGACCAAGAGTCGCGATGTGAGTATCTGTCACGTGGCGGCAGGCTGAGCGTTTATAGCAAGATAGATGGGGTGACGTGTGGCATTGGCTCATGGGGCTTGGCAGCCTCTCAGAGCCTTCCTCTGCCCAGAAGCTTCCTAGGACCTGGGCCCTAGGGCCTGCTATTCCCTGGTGGGACAGAAATGACCTTCCCAAGGGAGTTGGGCCTGAGCATCCTGTCTGCTCGCTCACCCTGTTCTCCAGGTGTCCTCAGCTCCCAGTGAGGGCCAGTCCAGTGATACTTCCCTTTTACCTATCCAGGTGGTTGAGTCCTCAGTGGGATGGTCGTTTTTTTTTCAGAGGCGGGTCCCACTCTGCCTGGGCTGAGCTGTAGTGGTGTGTCTATAGCTCACTATGGCCTCCCACTCCTGGGCTCAAGGAATCCACCCATCTCAGCCTCCCAAACTGCTGAGACCACAGGCCTGAGGCTCTGTGCTGGGCCCAGTTGGTTTTTTATTTTTATTTTTATTTTTTTATTTTTTTGAGACAGAGTTTCACTTATTAACCCTTGGTAGAGTGCTGTGGCATCACAACTCACAGCAACCCAACCTCTAACTCCTTGGGTTTAGGGGATTCTCTTGCCTCAGTCTCCTGAGTAGCTGGGACTACAGGCGCCAGCTATATTTTTGTTGCAGTTTGGCCGGGGCTGGGTTTGAACCCGCCACTGTTGGTAAATGTGGCCGGCGCCCTACCCACTGAGCCACAGGTGCCGCCCCCAGTTGGTTTTTTACAGTGTCTGTGTCTGGCACCATAGAGGACCCACCCACACTGGGGAACCATCCTTTGGAATGTGTATAGGAGACCTAGTAGCTGTCCCTAGCAGCCCCTGGCCCAGGTCTGGAGCCCAGGAAGGTGTGGGGTCCCCCAGTCCCCCAGCCGGGGTGCTTCTGCCCTCACAGGGGTGAGCAAGCTGGGATGTGAGGGAGCCACACCCCTCCTCCGCCCTGCCCCACCCTGCCCCACTCTGACCTGTGCCCTCCCTGTCTCACTGCAGATTCTGCTGTCTTCCCTCAAGCACGGCCTCTTTGGTGGGCAGTGGCTGCGGCGGGTCAGCTACGTGCGCTGGGAGGGCGTCTTCCGCTGCGTCCCCATCTTCGGCATGTCCTTTGCCTGCCAGTCGTGAGTGCCCCTGCCTGGTGGAGAGGGTACAGGGTGTGGCGGGAGACAGCCCCTGCTGCTCTGCTCTCTGGTGCTTGTTCCCAGCTGCTAGACAATGGTATTGTGTTCAGCTATGGCCTCCTCCTCCACCTAGAGGGAGAGATGGTTACATTTTAGTTGGGAGAGGAACTGACTACTCCTGAGATGCGTTGCAGGGACTAGCTGGTGCGAGTCTCTAGTTTGCCAGATTTCCATAGCAGAGCTGGTTGTGGGTGCGGCAGCAGCCGCGACCATCTGACTGCTTGGAGTCCTGAGCCTGGTGCTAGAATTGAGCTGTTCTCTGAGAATATTTAAAAAGAAATTGTGGGTGGTGCCTGTGGCTCAGTGGGTAGGGCTCTGGCCCCATAAACCGAGGATGGCAGATTCAAACCTGGCCCTGGCCAAACTGCAAGAAAAAAATAGCTGGGCGTTATGGCAGGCGCCTATAGTCCCAGCTACTTGGGAGGCTGAGGCAAGAGAATCACCTAAGCCCAGGAGTTGCAAGTTGCCATGAGCTGTGACTTCACAGCGCTCTACTGAGGGCGATAAAGTGAGACTCTGTCTTTAAGAAAAAATAAATTATGAAAAAATAATAAAAGGAAATTGCACAAACATCATTTCAGACCCGTGTGCATGAGCCTGCCCCGCCATCTCTCTGGCATGGTGGCTCTGCAGCCACAGATCGGCTGTTCAGTCCCAGTGGGATCACCTTCCCCACCAGAACCACAGGAGCTAGTGATTCCTGCCCAGTAGCCGGAGAAAAGATAGGCGCAAATCCAGGTGGGCTGGGAAAGCCCATCACGCCTCCTGCAGCGTCAGTGGGCATGTGCGGTGCTAGTCATAAACTAATGTGACAGATAAAATTTGTTTGTGCCTCTGTGTTTAGACCCGCACGGGAGATCCAAATCATGGCTTCCTGCTCGCTGTCTGTTGGCAGCCTGGTTTCCAGCAGAAGGTGCTCCAGGCTTGCTGGTTAATGTCCCCTTTATAACCTGAGACAGAGTTCCATTCTTTCACTGTGTACCTACTTACTTACCCATTGTCCTTTTTGTCTCTATTTGGTTTTGTAAATATGAATCTATGGTCAGGCTTTCCTGAGAAGCTGAGAAGCAGCCGGGGCACCTCTGTGGGATTTGCTTCTTAGGTCAGATTACAAGTGCTGGGAGCTCGGCCCGCCAGGTCAGGCTTCCTTGTGCTACTACGACAACCCCCGTGATGGCTGGCATGCCGACCTGCCCAGACAGCCCTTCTCTCCCTTCTTGTCCCTGCACTGGAGCCCAGTCCTTGCCAGGGTGACAGGCCGGGCCCCACTGTAGTGGTTGGTTTGGCTGTGGGTGTGGCCAGCCCCCCTGAGTCTCCACCGTCCGGCCCTTGCTTGTCTGTCTGATGGTGAATGAGTTTGGGCTGTGCAGAGCTGGCATCCTGGGCCAGGAGGGGCAGCTGTGGTGTTTCTGAGTGCAGGAGGCCTGGGAGGGCGGGTCCAGCTGGACCCGGGCCTGTCCTGTCTGCATAGGGGTACATCGTAAGGCAGCCAGAAATGGAAAGCTCCATTCAACCCTGATGGACCCCGAGTCCTGGCAGCTGCCTTCAAAGGTGGGTACTCTGGGAGTGCCCCGCAGGTGCTAAGGGCTCAGTAACACAAGAAGCTGCTGTGGAGGCTGTGGCTCCCACCTTGCTTCTCTCTAAGGGACCACCCAGAGGTCCCTGGGACTGGAGGTGAGGGCTGGGAACAGCCTGTGTGCTAAGAGCAACCCCCGCCCTATAGTGACTGTGGTTTCCTTGGCAGCACCCAAAGCAGTGTGTTAGGACTTGGCCCCCAGGCTGGGACTCCCTGGTGTGGACTCAGCTCCAGCCAGAGGACTGCTGAGCACCAAGAAGGGTCACGTGATGTGTCCTCCCATAGCGATGGGTGTCTCCCAGTTCTCTGCCATCTCCCTTGTGCTGCTCCCGCCAGCCCAGAGGAAGGCAGCCGTCCTGCATGGTCCCTGGACCAACAGCTAGGAGCCCTTCATGTTGAGGACAGCCTTCCGGGCAGTGTGCCACAGCCCAGGAGATTAGACACCCTGTGCCCACTGCCAGGTCTTCCTGCCTGTCCCTGTCTGTCTGCCTTTATTTTATTTATTTTGTTTGCCTTTTAATATGGTCTGAGTACCCTGTGCTGCTTTTGCATCTTTGAAGGTGATTTCAATGCTGGTTGTGGTGGCTCACCCTGTCATCCCAGTACTCTGGGAGGGAGGATCCCTTGAGCTTAGAGCAAGAGTGAGACCCCATTGCTACTAAAAATAGAAAAACTAGCCAGGCATTGTGGTGGGCACCTGTAGTCCCAGCTACTTGGGAGGTTGAGGCAGGAGGATCGCTTGAGCCCAGGGCACTCTGTCCAGGTTGACAGTGAGAGTTTGTCCCCCCCCCCCAAATAAATAAATATAAATAAAGGCAAGTTTTAGGATTTGGCTACACTGATTTTGTGTACAGTGATACACAAAATCCAACCACCCCCACCAGTCCAGTTACCTTTGTGACTTTGCTTCCCCACCTGGAATGACCACAGCTGCCCAGGACCTACCAGGAGTGGCCACTGAGCCCTGAGTCCTCATCTAGCCAATGCCCAGGGCAGAGGGCATTCAGCCTGTCCTGGCTTGAACTGCCCCCACCCAGCTCCCTCCTCCCACTGTACTTAGAGCCCTCCCATGGCCCCCCACCCCTCTCCCTTCTAGTCTGGTTCACCTTTACCTCTGTTGCCCAGACTCCTGCCTACCTCACTCCCTTGAATGGGCCTGCTGCCCTGTGTCCTCAGGAAAGCCTGCGTGGGGCTGTCACATCATCCCTGCCTGGCCAGTGACTCGGGTCCCTCCCACCCCAGCAGCACAACACTCCTGGCACCAGGATGTGGGACAGATGCCAGTTCTCTTGTCACAGGAATGAGAGGCTGTGTGTTGGGAAGCATGCCCTGGGCTGTCTCCTTTTCTGTCCTGCTGATTGTGCCTGTGCTGAGGTGCTGAGATGGGCCAGCCGCTCCACCAGGGTGTGTTTGTTTATGACATTGGTGCTCTAAGCAGGCTTCCTCCTGCTTCCCCTTAAGCATGGCTGCTTTAATTCCCAGTGCTGCTCCCAGGGAGCAGCTGGCTTTAGTCTGGGGTCCTTAAAGACCTTCATGTGGAGCATGTTCTGGGGTATTTTGAGTGGGCCCTGCCACAGTGCTGTGGTCCTTGGCGTCACAAGATCCCAGCCTCCTACTGTGTGAAGGAGGCATCAAGGCTTCTCGGTGGGACTGTAGGAGCCAGGCCAGGCAGTCACGTTTCTCTGGAATCTGCTTTGTGACATTGCTTGTTTTTTGTGTGTGTGTTTGTTTTGTTTTGTTTTAGAGACAGAGTCTCGGTCTGTCACCAAGCTGGAGTGCAGTGGTGCGATCACAGCTCACATGCAGCCTCAAACTCTCTGGCTCAAGGGTCCTCCCACCCCAGCCTTGATGTAGCTGGGACTACAGGTGCCTGGCATGGTGCCTGGGTAATTTTTTAAAAAAGTTTTGTGGGCCAGGCACGGTGGCTCATGCCTCTAATTCCAGCACTTGGGAGGTCAAGGCAGGTGGATTGCCTGAGCTCAAGAGTTGGAGACCAGCCTGAGCAAGAGCGAGGTCCTGTCTCTACAAAATAGCTGGGTATTGTGGTGGGTACCTGTAGTCCCAGCCTCTGGAGAGTCGGAGGCAAGAGAATATAAGCAAGCCCAAGAGTTTGAGGTTGCTGTGAGCTGTGACTCCATGGCACTCTACCGAGGGCAACATAGTGAGACCCTGTCTCAAAAAAAAAAATCGTTTTTTGTTAAAAATAGGGTCTTACTGGCTTGGTGTCTGTAGCTCAAGCGGCGAAGGCATCAGCCACATACACCAGAGCTGGCGGGTTTGAATCTAGCCCGGGCCTGCCAAACAACAATGACAACTACAACCAAAAAATAGCTGGGCATTGTGGCGGGTGCCTGTAGTCCCAGCTACTTTTGAAGCTGAGGCAAGAGAATCAATTAAGCCCAGGAGTTGGAGGTTGCTGTGAGCTATGATGCCATGGCACTCTACCCAGGGCGACACCTCAAGGTTCTGTCTCAAAAAAAAAAAAAACATGGAGTCTCACTATGTTGACCAGGCTGGTCTCAAACTCCTGGGCTGAAGCAATCCTCCTGCCTGATCCTCAGTGAAATTGCTTCTTTTTATACAGTCAGGTCCTGCCCACCTATGACAGCCTGGACGAGCCGTCAGTGAAAACCATGAGTTCCATATTTGCCTCCTCCCTCAACGTGGTCACCACCTTTTATGTCATGGTAGGGCCCTTCACACCCTGGAGCTCCTGTTTCATGTCAGCACCAGGTGCTGGGACGCTGCCTCCCTCCAGCTTCCTGCAGACCCAGGCGCAGGCTTACTACCTCTGCTGAGTGGGTTAGGGTTAGAGTCCAAGGGCCCAGGAACCTCAGCAGCGGGGCTGTGCCCAGCTTTAACTGAGCGGCCTTTTGTTAATTCACTGTGAACCCTGCGGAGACCTGGGAAAGTCAGATCGGCAGAGGGGTGACACTCTTCAACCCACCCACACATGCAGTCAGTCCGCGTTTGGTAGACTTTCTTCTGGTCTTCTTCATGTTCCTATTTGTTGCCTTCGAATAAAACTATAAATGTTCTAGAATTACAGTCCCTGGCCCCACGTCGGGTCCCTGGGGTTCACTGATAACCTGTGTTTTACTCCACAGAAGACCACAGTTCACCCCATGTCCCCAGTGGGTATTTTATTTTTATTTTTTTGGCAACACATTTCTCACTCTGTCATGTAGACTGGAGTGTGGTGGTGTCATCACAGCTCACTGCAGCCTCTAACTCTTGGGCTCATGTGATCCTCCCACCTGAACCTCTCAGAGTGCCTGGTCCCTGCTTGGTTTTGGAAACAGATCAGGATTAGCTCCTCTGCAGGGCTTGTGGGACAGGCTGGGTTTCCCTTTTGCGCAGGCAGCTCTGTGAGGCTGCTCGCCTCTAGGGTTGGGCTCTCTGATTGTCAGAGCACTGTTGGTCTCCAGAGGCTGACTCAGATAGAGGTTCCGGGGCTCAGAGACACTCCTGAAACAGGCACTGCCCCGATCAGGACCTCTGTCCACGACATTGCTGTGTCTCTTCCTCTGACAGGTGGGGTTTTTTGGTTACGTCAGCTTCACTGATGCCACCGCAGGCAACGTCCTGATGCACTTCCCCTCCAACCTGGTAACAGAGATGATCCGTGTGGGCTTCACGATGTCAGTGGCCGTGGGCTTCCCTATGATGATCCTGCCCTGCCGACAGGCTCTGAACACGCTGCTTTTCGAGCAGCAGGTGAGTCTCACGACCTTTTTCTGCTATTGATGGCATTATCTTCTATTGGCTTCTGCTCTGTATTTTTCTGGGCTGTGGTAGGTGGAGGTTTTCCTAGTTAAAAGGAAAAGAAAGCTTCAATAAAGATGATGACTTTCCTTTTTTTTTGAGACAGAGCCTTAAGCTATTCCCTTGGGTAGAGTGCTATAGCATCACAGCTCGCAGCAACCTCCAACTCCTTGGCTCAAGAGAGTCTTCTGTTTCTGCCTCCCAAGTAGCTGGGACCACGGGCGCCCCACCACAACGTCCGGCTATTTTTTGGTTGCAGCCATCATTGTTGTTTGGCGGGCCCAGGCTGGATTTGAACCTGCCACTTTGGGTGTATGTGGCTGGCGTCTTAGCCACTTGAGCCACAGGCGCCGAGCCAAAAATGATGACTTTCAACAGGGATTTTACAACCACTTTGTTGAGAGCCCCAGTGTACACAGGGCATGCAGGCAACTCTGCCAGGCCCCATGTCCTCATGGGTGCAGCTTACCTCCTGGGCCTCCCCAGCTACACTGCTGTCCTCTCAACTCAGGGAGGTAGCAGGAGACTGGGATCTACCCCAGAGTAGTCCTGGGGAGGGCAGAAGTGTGGGAGCATGGGGGAACCAGACTGATCATAGGAGGATAGGCCAGTGGAAGGATCCCTGTATGAGTCTCTTTGCTTTTGTGTAACTGCAGATTTTAATAATGTAGCATGAGATGTTGAGCCACAGAGAAGCTGCTTCATGGCAGGCAAGGTCGTGTGTGTCTCTGGTCCCAACGATTTCATCTCTTGAGCCCAGGAGTTCCAGGGCAGCCTGGGCAACATACTGAGACCCCATCTTAAAAAAAAAAATAAAAATAAAGAGAGGCTGAGTTTTATACATAGTAACATATAGGTATACAAGGTAGCTGCTTAGTCCTTTATAAAAAGTTTTTAAATACAGGTGTTGAAACCAAATGCTCTCCTGGTCCTTTCTGTGGTGCTGGGACAGTGCTCTGGCGCTGTCCCTGCCAGAGAAGGTTGAGCTCCTGCCTGGGGGGCCGGGGGGCTCTGCCCAGCCTTTCTCTGCCTCTCAGGGGGTGCCTTCACTGCCTCAGGAGCCTTGAAAGATGGCCATCTTCTGTTCTATAGTCTGAGAACCTTGAGCCTGGTGGTTAGGAGTGCAGGTTCCCCTGGAACTGTCCAGGCTAAGGGGTTTCATGGTACCAGAGAATCTGGGGAAAATCAGCAGACTATAGGGGGCCTGGAGAACCCTGGCCCAGGGTTCTTGGTGGCGCCCATACACTGAGGATGGTGGGCTCGAACCTGGCAACTAAAACAACAATGACAACTAAAACAACTGCAACAACAACAACAAAAAGTCCAGGAGGCTGAGGCAAGAGAATTGCTTTAGCCTAGGAGTTTGAAGTTGTTGTGAGCTATGATACCACAGCACTCTACCCAGGGCAACAGCTTGTGTCTCTGTCTCAAAATAAATAAATAGTGCTCTTGTTTCTATACATAAGGGCATTTCTATCTTATTTATTAATTATTATTATTATTATTTTGCAGTTTTTTTTTTTTGGCCGGGGCTGGGTTTAAACTCACCACCTCTGGCATATGGGGCTGGTGCCCTAAGGCTCCTTTGAGCCATAGGCGCTGCCCTATCTTATTTATATTTTAGACAGAGTCTCACTTTGTCATCTGTGAGTTCTATGGTGTCATAGTTCATAGTAACCTCAAACTCTTGAGCTTGAACGATCCTCCTGCCTCAGCCTCCCAAGTAGCTGAGACTAGAGGCACCTACCACAATGCCAGGCTAGTTTTTCTAGTTTTATAGATGGGGTCTCACTCTTACAATCTGGCTAGTCTCAAACTCCTGAGTGCAAGCAATCCACCTGTGTTGGCCTCCCAGAGTGCTGGGATTATAGGTGTGAGCCACTGTGCCTGGCTGTCTTTTTTTTTTTAAATCAAAGAATCAATAGGGGTGGGAGCAGTGGCTCATGCCTGTAATCACAGCACTCTAGGAGGCCGAGGTGGGTGGATTGCTTGAGCTCACAAGTTCAAGACCAGCCTGAGCAACAGCGAGACCTCATTTTTAAAATTAGAAAAACTAGTCTGGCATTGTGGTAGGCGCCTGTAGTCCCACCTATTTGGGAGGGTGCGGCAAGAGGATCATTTTGAGCCCAAGAGCTTGAGGTTGCTGTGATCTATAATGCCACAGCACTCTACCATGGGCAAGGAAGTGAGACTCTGTCTCAAAAGAAGAAAAAGGATCAATAGTGATATTAAAGGAAATGTTACATCAAATGAGAAAGTCCCCCTGCAGCTGTATTCTCTCTCCCTCTGTGCCTGTGTGCGCCATTGCCACACAGGTACCCAGAGCCCACCTGCTCTGTGCTGCTGGCTTAGTGGTGTGTGCAGGCACCTGTGGGTCCTGCATCTCTGTCCTTGCCCCTCATTCCTTGCTGGGGCCTGGCTGTTTCTGGTCCTTCGTGCTTGATCTCTTGGGTTGACTCTCATGGCCGTCTCATGTATCACATCCTCTTCCTTTGCCTGGGGCTATCTCTCAGTGGACTGTGGCTCAGGTTTGGGGTAGTCCTGACACCTTCCACACCAGCTTGTGTTCAGGTTCTCACCCCTCCATCTGTCTTGTGTGGGCATCTGTTCTGAGAACTGGGAACTTCAAGACAGCAGTTCTGGAAGGTTCTGCTCTTGTCAACCTAGCCCAGGGGTAGTCGTCATAGTCCTCCCTGTGCATTGAATCACTTGTAGAGGGATGCTTCTGTCTACAGGGTGGGAAACAGGCACACATGCTCAGTGCCCTGCCCAGGGTGCAGTGGAGCCTGCTGAGTGTTAGGCAGGGGCAGGTGGGCAGTCTGGCCTCAGTGGGGTATGCCAGGCCACACTGGGGCCCTCGGGCAGGTGGATTCAGACCATCTGCCCCTGTCCCTCTGTATGTCACCTGGGGCAGTCCCTGCTACATCCTCACTGGTTAGAACAGTGGAGCCGATCCTTCCTACGGGTGTGATAGGCACTGCTGGTTCTCTGGCTGGGCCACAGCGTGTCTTTCTCCCTTTGTTTATTCTTGGACTTCACAGTTGCTTTCTGCCTATAATACACATGCTGGAGATGGTGATAGCATGCCATCTGTGTGTGAGGTCTGCCTGTGCCCTGAGATCCAATGGCCAGGAGAGGCTCACAGTTGTTGGCAGAGGCGGCGCCATGGGATGTGTCCTGCTCCTTGAGCTTTGGAGCACATGCTAAACCTCCCTTGTGTTGCTCTGAAGAGGAAACAGAGGGACTTTGGACTAGTGGTTCAAAACTAGGTTGTGAAATCCATGGTCCCTACTGTGGTGAAAAGCACATGTGCCTCCCTGGCATTTTCTAGGTGTGAGCGGCAGGTTCTCATGAAAGTTGCCCAGCCAAGGCTGGGCACAGTGGCACATGCCTGTAATCCCAGCACTCTGGAAGACCAAGGCAGGTGAATTGTCTTAAGCTTATGGGTTTGAGACCAGTCTGAGCCAGAGTGAGACCCTGTCTGTAAAAACAGCCAGCATTATGGTGGGTGCCTGTAGTCCCAGCTACTTGGGAGGCTGAGGCAAGAGAATCGCTTGAGCCTAAGAGTTTGAGGTTGCTGTGAGCTATGGTGCCATGGCACTCTACCAAGGGAGACAAAAGGAGACTCTGTCTCAAAAAAGAAAAAAAAAAACAAGTTGCCCAGCCAGATGTGGCTGTGTCAGTCATGGTTGCTTGGCAGGTGAGCACCCTCCCAGCCCTGTGTGGGGATGCCCCTAGTGTGCTGGGCAGAGCCTGTGAGGCATTGCTTATAAGAGTAGAAGAAGAAGTAAGTTGTTTCAGAGTAGAAGAAGTTAAGTTGGTTGTGTTTTTATTTTTTGTGTGCAGCAAAAAGATGGTACCTTTGCAGCTGGCGGCTACATGCCTCCACTCCGGTTCAAAGCGCTCACCCTCGCAGTTGTGTTTGGAACCATGGTTGGTGGCATCCTGATCCCCAATGGTAAGGTGGGGAATGGCTCCCAAGACTGGAGCCATCTCTTTTCTCTCTCTCTTTTTTTGCTGTTCCCACTGCTACACAGGGCTGTGTCATCAGCATTCAGCTGAGACACCCAGAGTTTTGGGCCTCCTAAAAAGTCTCCAGAGGTCCTCAGACTTTTTAAACAGGGGGCCAGTTCACTGTCCCTCACTGTTGGAGGGCTGGACTGTGGACCTTGGGACTAGTCGGCTGCTAAGCAGGACAGGCAGCAGCGGCAAAAACACCCGTCAGGCCAATGTGGCCTGCGGGCTGTAGTTTGAAGACACCTGGTCCAGACTCTCTCTTTTTCTTTGTCCTGAAGAGTAAGGCAGGGGATAAAACTGGGCAGTGTGTCAGGACAACACACACTCACTGATATCCAAGAAGGGTGTGACTCCAGTGCAGGGACGGAGGACTTACGTCTGCTGTTTCAGTTTCTGATTTTGTTGCCACGTTACCAAGGGAAAAGTTGAGTGCTCTGAGTGAGGTTTAAGTTATCCAAATGCACTGACTCCTGGCAGGTGGGCAGAGCTTTATTGTCAGCAGATACCAAGGGGAACTCACACACACCCTTCCTGGGCAGTGTCCCAAGGCCCAGGTCTGGCAGCAAGGCTATACTCCACCAGCACAGCCCAGGCCCGGGTTTGCATGTGGCACTCACCACCCAAAGGCAGGAGGGGCAGCATGTGATCCTGCAGGGCAGAGCCACCGATGTCCTGATTTAGGGAGGAAATTTCATGGTTGGGCTCGTTAAAGATGAAGATGAACCACCAGGGCAGCCCTCACAGGCTACATCATCTGCTGTGTTCAGCCACATAAAGGCTGTGGGCACAGAGGGAGCCTCTGCTCCCAGGTCATGTGCAGTGGCCTTTGTCACCCAAATTCCACTCCTGGCCAGAGCCCTTCACTGCTCACTTCTTCCTGTCCCTTTTTGCTCCTAGTGGAGACTGTCCTGGGCCTCACGGGTGCGACCATGGGAAGCCTTATTTGCTTCGTCTGCCCTGCTCTGATTCACAGGAGGACGCACAAGAGTGCCCTCTCCCCCCAGGTATGTGCTGCATGGGGTGGGAGGAGGGGGCAGGTGAGTGAAAGCCTGGTCAGTGTGTTTTGCTGACGAGTTTTATGGTTTTAGATGTGAAGCACAGGAAGGGTGCTTGATCAGGTGGGTCTGGGATGCCTGGGGTTCAACCTGGTGGCTGCACAGTCTCTGCCATCCATTCTCATACTGGGGATTTCCTGGAGCCCCTCCCCTGAGCTCTAGGTAGGTCCAGAGAGGAGGTTGCCGGCATTCCTGCTTTGCTCTTTAATGATGACACAGCTTCCTGCCACCTCCTTGTGTCAGTCCCTGCAGGTCGCTCCACAGCCTCTGTGTGGAGCTGCCCAGTTTTGGTGGCTCCATGGTTTCAATTGTAGAAAGTTCCATGGTCCCTATTGCAGTGCGCCATGTCTCTAGTCTTCTGCTGTTACGGGGCTCTCTCTGTGTGTGGCAGGAGGCTTGGACGTGAAGCCTGTGCCGGGAGCGTGAGCACTTGGGGGTCTGTATCCCCACAGTGGGGCCTTTCAGTCTTCGCTTTTGGCTTCCTTGATGTGAACATGAATGTATTCTCATGGGTTTAGAATGGCTTGTGTTTCTTTTCTGTGAACTGCCTGTGTTTTTGTTGACTCTCATGGAGTTGTTTAGCTTTTTCATACCGAAGTTTATTGGTGAATGTTTCAGAAGTATGATATACATGCCATTTTTGTATACAGTGTGTATACAGTTGTGCATAGTCAACCAGCGATGGAACCACTGTCCAGAGCAGACAGAACGTTCTAGCACTCAGAGCCCCCTTCAGGCACCTTAGGCTCCCACCCCAAAGTTCACTTCTGGTCTGTCTTGCGAGTCAGCAATGGTTCTGCCTGTCTTCAAGTGGGAGTGAACAGAGTCTGCAGCACAGGTGGTGTGCGTGACTCTGAGCTCATCCACACCACTGTACAGCACCACCACTGATTCTCACTGCTGTGCAGTGTCCCACTGCATGAGTCGGCTGCAGTTTGCCCAGTCTTGTGGGGCAGAAGCTCGTTTCCAACTTGGTGTGCATGGTTCTGTGGGACGCATGCTTAGGAGACCAGTCGGGTGGGGGGGTTCGGCATTGGCAGGTTCTGCCAGACTGTTTTTCAGTTCTCTAGCAGCACGTGAGAGAGTGGGTGACTTCTCATCCAAGCCCCCTTTCAGATTCCAGCCCTCCAGTGGGGACCTGGGGCTGGGGCAGCACCTCATGTGCAGTCTTGGTTGGTCCGTCTTGAGAGCTCAGGGTGGATGGCTATCTCTGCTCGAGTGTCTTTCACGTCTTGCCTGTTTGTTTGTTTTTATGTATTGGATTATCTCCTATTAATTTGTGGGAGTTTTTAACAAAGTCTGGATATGAGTTCTTTTTCAGAAATATAGATCGCAAATATTTTCTCTGGCTCCAGGCTGTCTTTGTCACTTTCTTAAGGATGTCTTTGGAGGAATAGAAGCTCTTCATTTTTGTTTGGTCTAGTTTATCAGTTTCTTTTCTTTCATGGTTTATATGTCCTAGTTAAGAAACGTTGGCCTAAGGCCATGTGTGGTGGCTCATGCCTGTAATCCCAACACTCCGGGAGGCCAAGGCAGGTGGATTGCTTGAGCTCAGGAGTTAGAGACCAGCCTGAGCAAGAGCAAGACCTTATCAAAAATAGCCTAGCATACAAATGTCTATTTCAGTGACTGTTGGCTGGTCTGGCCCTTCTGCAGTTGTTGGACACAGTGGTTTGCATATGTTAGAAAATTTATGAACTGCTATTTTCAGATTTTGACAGAATTTTGCTGATTTTTTAATCTTGCTTATTGGTTTTGAGAAAGGTATAAAACTCCTTTGTAATTGCAAATTTATTTCTTCAGTTCTGTAAATTTTTTGCTTTTTATTTTGAAGCTATGTTGATACGAGCACACAGATTTTAGCTGGTTATAGTTTCTTGTCTAATTGACTTCTTAACTTGTGAAATGTCCCTTTTTATCTTTGGAAACACTTTTCTCCTTGGTGTTGTAGGTAACTTAGGCCTCTGCCTTGGGTCTGATCTCTCTGTGCCCTGATATTGGAGGTACCTCTCTTGTACTAGCATATAGTTGGCTTTTGTTTGCTGTTACCCAGTTTATTGAGGAGTGTTTAAGACAGTTCACACTTAATGTAATTACTGATTTAGGGTAAATACTTCCATCTTACTCCTTATTTTTTGTTCATCTCATCTGTTATTTTTGTTTATTTTTTTCTTTGGGGTCCTTTTAAATCCTCTTCTTTGGGAGCCTCCTCCTTTTAAATCAGTCATTTAAAGTATTCATTCTTGGGACAGTGCCTGTGGCTCAGTGAGTAGGGCCCCAGCTCCACATACCCAGGGTGGTGGGTTCAAACCCAGCCCCCAGCCAAACTGCAACAGCAACAAAAAAAATAGCTGGACGTTATGACAGGTGCCTGTAGTCCCAGCTACTTGGGAGGCTGAGGCAAGAGAATCGCCTAAGCCTAAGAGCAGGAGGTTGCTGTGAGCAGTGATGCCACAGCATTCTACTGAGGGCGACAAAGTGAGACTCTGTCTCAAAAATAAATAAATAAATAGGTAAATAAAGAGATAAAATATTCATTCTTTTTTCCTCTCTTAGCTTGTTGGTATGTTTCTATTATTCTGATGTTAGAGAGTGGATAACATGCAGACACGTGGTATAATGTGGTGTGTGTATGGTATAGTGTATGATGTGTAATGTGTAGGGTTTTTTTTGTTTTTTGTTTTTTTTTTTTTGAGAGAGTCTTAAGCTGTCGCCCTGGGTGGAGTGCTATGGCATTATAGCTCACAGCAACCTCCAACTCTTGGGCTTAAGTGATCCTCTTGCCTCAGTTTTTTCTATTTTTAGTAGAGACAGGGTCTCACTTTTTGCTCAGGCCGGTCTTGAACTCCTGAGCTCAGGCAATCCACCTGCCTTGGCCTTGCAGAGTGCTAGGACCTCACGGGGCCTAAGTAGGCAGTTGATAGGAATCCTTGACATATTGGAATCAACAGTAAATTAGGACTTTTTTTTACCGATTCCCAGACAAAGCAAAACTTCCACAATATGCAAACTCTTCTTACCCTCCACTGGTCTTTGGAGCCGCTATTCTTGTGTACTGTAATTCTGCATGGAGTTACTGTTTCTCATAGTCAGTATTGCTGTTATGACCCTTGGTGGCTTCCTGGTTTTTGTCATTTGGCTCTGTCTTCCAGTGTGCTTGGTGCTGTGCAGATGCTAGGTTTGAGACAGGGGGCTGCTGGATAGTGCTTTCTTGCAACCCTCGCATGAGGAAAGGCGGAAGACTCTTCGGGCACAGCCCTGCTGGTTCTTAACTGGACACTGTCACCCCAGATGGCCAGTCTCTCTGCTTGGTGTTCATCCTCTTGCCAGCTTCTCTCTGCTCAGTTCTCTGAACAGCTGGTAGCTGGCCCATACCCTGGTGCATGTGGAACACAGGGCACCTTCTCTGAGGCTTCCTTCCCTCCTCCAAGCTCTCACTGCTGGGGAGCCCTTGCCCCTGATCTGCAAGGTCCACTCTACTTGCCCTCTGTGCCTAAGTGCTTCCCTTTGCTCTCTGGAATCTTGGCCCTCCATATCCAAGCTGCGGGGGTTCGTCAGTAGTGTCTATGGTTGGGTGATCTCGATGTTCATCCAGCTTTGGTGATTGAGTGGGACCATCAGTTGGGTACTAGCTTCTCTCCCGTAGCTTGAGGCAGCAGTTCCCCCATGCATTCTAGGAGCTCTGGGGGCATGAGGAGCACGGCCACTGCCCAGAGTGCTTCCCGAGTCCCAGCTTGTTGGGCTTTTTTTAAAGGGGAAAAAAAGATGACAGTTGGAAAGACCTTCCCCACACCAGTATTCTTTTTGGAAATCCCTTCTCATTTTCTTAGTACTTCCATGACCTCATTTTCTTGATTTAGATCTTTGCACCATTTGTGTTTTATTTTGGAGTAAGAAACAAAGTAGTATCCTGAGTTTTTTCCTAGAGGTTCTGCAATTGCCACATGCTCTTTATAAAATAACCCCTCGCTGATGCGGCATGTTGCTGCTGTCATGTATTAAACTCCTGTGCCTCTTCAGGCCTGCCCTGGCCCTTGCATTTTAACTTGCTGACTGGTTTGTCCTTGTGGGCTGTTTTAATCACCACGACTTGTAATAGTGCTCACTGCATTATGGCCTGTTGCTCTCTAAAATTTTAATTCTAATTCCTCCTCTTTGCTCTTATGAATAAATTTTCTGGACATTCTGTTTTTCTTTTTTTGAGACAGAGTCTCACTTTGTTGCCCTGGTAGAGTGCTGTGAGGTCATACCCCACAGCAGCCTCAGACTCCTGGGTGCAAGTGCTTTGTTTGCTTCAGCCTCCTGAGTGCTGCCCGCCACAACACTCGCCTAGTTTTTTAATTTTTATTGGAGATGAGATCTTACTCTTGCTGAGACTAGTCTCAAACTCCTGGGCTTAAGAAATCCTCTTGTAGTGGAGGACGGGCATAGGGGACATCCAAGGCTGGTCCCAGGCACCCAGGGGCAGCCGTGTGAAGAGCCTATTTCTCTGGGGAGGCATACATAGGTGAACACGTGCCAAGGCTCACAGAGGGCTCCAAAGGGGCCGTCTGCCTGTAGTCAGAGGTAAGCCTCAAGGTCCATAGAGGCTTAGGGTGTGTGTGAGTGGGGCTCTTGGACAGTGACCCTAAGTGTGTGCCCTATCCCTAAAGTACAGAACTTGCCTCATGTGTCCTCTTGAGATAAGGTGAGATATGAGTTTTCTTCCCACCTGGGTGCTCTTCTTTGTTTTGACTCAGGGACCCCTCAAAGATCTGGAGGCCACGGTCACTCCTGGGGCAGTGCTCCAGCTGCTGCGTGGCCTTTGTACCTCAGTGTAGCCCCAGGATTCTCCTGGCATGGGCTGAGACACACAGTGGCTTGGTGTGCCTCCTCCTATGGGCTCTGTGATGCTGTTAAGGTGACTCACTGCCAAAGTCAAAGTCACGGATGCCCTGATGTCAGGGGTGCTGTGGGATCAGGTATCTGGCATGGTAGATCCCGTTTCTCCACCTGCCTCAAAGGCAGTTCTGCTGTGGGCAACTGTTCCAGCAACTGCACCCCAACTGTGCAGCTGCACCCCAGACAGGTTCCTCAGGGTCCCAGACCATCCGGGCTGACCATTAGAGTGCAGAACTGGATGTGCTTCGGTATTCAGGAGATGAGAGAACTGGACATCCCTGCCCTACATGCATCCTGCGTTCCACAAGCCTCTTACACTCTGCACAGAATGGCAACTGGGGACCACTCACCCCTCACCTGTCTTCATACACTATGGTGTCTGCAGGTGGTAATCTGTGCTGCTTCCAAATGCCAGGCCACCAGGGCATCTGCTGCCCTTGAAGCCAAGTTTCCCCAGGCTCTGGTGCACATTCGTACCAGTAGCATGGGCTTGCAGACTGGGACTTGGTGGCTGGGTGAGTGTGGAGCTGGTGGGGCCCCGGCACTGTCACAGATGTCTGTACCACTTTCTTGGCCCATAATCCCCTCAAGCCGGAGTGGCTCTGGCTTCTCTGCCTGGGTTTTCATGGTCCACGATGTGCCCTCAAAGGAATGGCTGAGGGTATAAACCCTGATGTCTGTTCAGTTGTGGGGGCTCCACTGGGCAGCCAGCAGCTCATGCTAGGGCACTGGGCAGCACAGAGGCCCCATGGCCTGGGGCAGGTGTGTAAGGCTCAGTGGAAGTCTTGGGAAAGGCGGGGGCGGGGGGGAGACTTGCAGCCAGGTGGGGTGTATTCAGGATCTCTGTTGTCACATTGCTCAGGGCTGTTCTGCTGCTGTGGAGTGTGAGCCCAAGGATAGCTCTGCCCAAGGACTCGGGTGCCGCAGGTGGGAGGCAGCAGCGGGCACGCGCATGGTGTGGGCTGGAGCTGGGCTTTTTTCCTGCTAGCCTGGTCTGGGTCTGAGCGTGGTCCTTGGCCTGTCCCATTTGCTGCTGCTGGCAGGCCCCGCTTTGTGACTTGCATTTACATTTTGCCACAGTACATTTCAAGACCTTCCTGGACTCTGATGCGAGTTGGTTGCCCAGGCGTTTTCTGGTTCAGCTGCCCTGGAGGGCTCCTCCTGCCACACTTGGTCCTGACCTGTTGCCCAGATTCCCGCTGGGGCTCTGTGGTTTAGCACCCTTTCTCCATCAACTGCTTTCTGCGCTTGCCTTTTCTGTATGTAAGACAGAGTCTTACTCTGTGCCCTGGGTGGAGTGCTATGGCCTCAGCCTAGCTTGCAGCAACCTTGAACTCCTGGGCTCAAGCAAGCCTCTTTCCTCAGCATCCCAAGTAGCTGGGACTATAGGCGCCTGGCTATTTTTAACAGATGGGATCTCATTCTTGCTCAGGCTGCTCTCGAACTTTTGAGCTTAAGTGATCCACCTGCCTTGGCTTCCCAGAGTGCTGGGATTATAGATGTGAGCTACCATGCCCAGCTTTCTGCCCTTTCCTGAGAGCATTTGTGTAATTTCCCAGCAGGTGAGGCTGGGGGCCTTTTTGGTCTACCTCCTGGTGTTGACAAACTTAATGTTTTTTTATTTTGCATGTGATTTTCATTTTTTAAGCTGAGGGTTAAAATAAACCATTCATTGTCATGGATGACTTTGTTAGTCTCCATGGAAATGCTAAATAAGGTCTCGGTTGAAAATAACATGACATAAAATGACTAACCACAGAGAGTTTTAGAGATGTCCATGTCCACATAGGGATTGGAGGGGTTCTTGAGCCTTCCTGCTGCTGCCCTGGCCCATTCTCTTTGTTCTGAACTCTCTTTCTCCTAACCTACCGGGGACAGGACACCAGAGCAGAAATGTGTTCTTGGTCACATCTGAGTATTCTTAGCGGGGTCTTCCTGTTATCCTGTTGGTGTCTCAGGAAGTCCAAGGAGGGAGATAATTTTTTTCATTGTTCTCAGCAAGGTCATTTCTGCCATAGGCTGGAGAAGTACAAGGTGCACTCAGATGCACCTGCTTACAGGAATCCACCCAGGCATGGTGGCTTTGCTGTCCTGCAAGGTGGGCCAGCACTGGGAAGGGCTTCCCAGGACCCGACAGCAAGTGCCTGCTTTGGGCCGGACTGGACCTCTGCATGGACAGCCAGAGCCTAGTCTCTGCTCCATCTGGCTTTGACTTAGGATGATGAGTCAGGAGGGCTCAGGGAACCTGGGGCTTCCCTGATGTTTCTCTCTGGGCTGTTCCGTGCTCCACAGTCCCTGCCTGCCATCCGGTGCCTAGCCGTCACTGCCCTGCTGTCCCACGCCCCACTGTCAGTGCTGGATTTTCCTACACCTCCCCCACCTGGAGCTGGGTCCTCAGCAGGTGTTATGTTTCTTTCTCTTCAGAAGTCATTGGTTACACACCATCACTGCTCCGTGAATGTGTCCTTCATGGTGTGACAGGGCTGAAGATGCACATCCACTGCCTTGAAGGGGAACTGCTGGGGCAGGGCCCTTGACCCTGAGCCCTGTAGAACTTGCAGGTGCTCTGTGTCCCCATGCACACGTGGCTGTCCTGCTGTCACCTAATACTCTGGCCTGCTGTGGTTACTGCGAGAGGGGCAGATCAGGCACCCTGAGGGTCCCACGTGTCCATAGGGTGCACCATGTCGGTCCTCCCCTCCTGGAGCTGGCTGAGCCTGGACTGTCAGCAGCACTCGGCTTCCTAGAGCTGCGCCTGCTCTGTGATTCTCGGGTGGCAGTGAGAGAGAGGGGCTCTTTCCCCGAGGTGGTTTTGTTTCCCAGTTGGTCACCACCCAGATTCAGGGCATTATTTCTTTCCTGTGGAGAGCTGTCCACTCCAGTTGTGTTGGTCCCAGGAAACTATCACCTGTTCTTTTGACTGATTTTTTATTTTAAAAGTCAACATACCTCTCAAGAAAGGATTTTGAATCCTGGCTCTGAGACCACATGGAGGTGGGGTGACGAGGGTCCTACTAGCCCTATGGGAAGGCTGCCTGCCCTGCCAGGAGTCTTGCTCACCAGGGAGTGTGGCCTTAGTATACCAGGGCAGACTCAGCAGAGCAGGGCAGGCAGGCAGGGGGAGAGAGCTCAGCAGGTGGGTGCTGGAGTAGGGAAGACTCCAGGGGTCGGGCTCAGGAGGGGAGGAGCTCTACAATGTGGCACCTGCTTGCTGAGTCACCCAGGGCAGTGTTTATCATCCACTGTGGGACCTTTATAAGGGGGGGCTGCTACCAGAGGGAGAGGCCCCATGAAGATCTGTTGTGCCTCAAAGTGACTCACTGGGTGACCTAATGGGTGCCATGGCACCGCCAGGGAGAGGAAGAGGCTGCTTCCTCCACCCGGCCTCTGCCAGCGGTTCTGGCTCCTCTTGCCAGGGTGGTCTAAGGACTAACCTTTTCCAGAGCAGGACAGGGGCTGGGCCTCTGCCTCCATGTCCCTCTTGCCTGCCTCTCCCAGTGGCCCTGCGATTCCCATAGCTCCCTGCTGACTGCTGCCTGCCTGCTCCTCCTCAGTGCCCTGTGAATCCCACAGCTCCTGCTGACTGCTGCCTGCCTGGCTCTGGCTGCCTGCACAGCTGCTGCATCAGGCTTCAGTCCTTCCCCCAGCTGTCCTGAGCCTGACTGCCTGGTGCCCACCTTTCCTTCTTCCTGCCTCTGGGCCCCTTCCCACCATTCCCCACTGTTCTGGGCAAGGTTTGGGGAAGGTATGACTCTTTTGCTGTGGTCTCTGCCCCTCCAGGTGGTGCTCTGGGTTGGCCTGGGCGTCCTGGTGGTTAGCACACTCACCACCCTATCTGTGAGTGAGGAAGCCCCCGTGGATGTGGCACCAGAAGCCCCCGGCAGCCAGCTTAAGGAGGCCGAGGGTTTGATGAAGGCAGAGGTGGTCCGGCTCTCAGGTACGTGGCTCTTGGGCACATGGCTCTGAGGTAAGTGGCTCTTGGCAGGTGGCTCTCATGTGTACAGGCCCAGTCCCAGCCCCTGAACCTGCTTAGGGTAAATAACCCCAGGGGTACAGGTGGCACTGTGCAGACTCCTGGCTTTGGTCTAAGGGTATTGCTTATCTGCCCAGCAGCCTCTGCCCTGTTTGGGGGCAGCAGGTGGGAAGTCCTGGGTGCGAGATGCACCACCCTTTTCCTAGAGATGCTCTGTGTGTGAAGGGGCCAGGGTGCTGCTACCATGTGTAGAGGACACTGGCTGAGGTCCCCTGGGGCTCACATTTGTGTTTTGCTTTGAGGAGGTGAATTTCTAGCCTGTTTTCTTCCAAGCAGAGTCACCATGGCGCCATAGCCTGCTAACTGCTTTTTTTTTTTTTTTTTTGGTAGAGAGAGAGTCTCACTATATCACTCTCAGTAGAGTGCTGTGGTTATTACACAGCTCACAGCAACCTTCAACTCCTGGGCCTATGCAATTCTCTTGCCTCGGCCTCCTGATTAGCTGGGAGTACAGGCGCCTGCCATAACACCCAGCTATTTTTTTGTTGCAGTTTGGCCAGGGCCGGGCTCGAACCCGCCACCCTTGGTATATGGGGCTGATACCCACTGAGCCACAGGTGCCACCCACTGCTTTGGTTTTTACTGTTCATCCACTAGGCCTATGGGTGGGGTCATACCCTTACCCCCCATGCAGCTGCAGGTTCCTCAGAAAGGACCTGGTGGTGCTATGTATGTGCTATCTTGTCACCTCCATCTGAGGCTATGTCCCATAGGGCATGTAGGGACTTTCTGGGGTATAGCTGCAGCTCCATGTGTCTGGGGTAGCTGATGTACCCCAACTTTCACAGACCTAGGTGGGGGCCACACAGGGCAGCAGTGCCCCTGGCCAACATCTGCCCAGCAGCTCTGAGTGGCCAGGGCCTGGGGGGTGGTGGGTGGTGCTGTCTGTGGTGACATCACTGTGGGGACTCTGCCCCAATGGCCAGGGCTGTCTGCATCCCATTCATCCCATGGCAGAGGCCAGGGGTAGGGGCCAGATTCTCCAGGCGTCCACCTATGGGTGGGGGGTTTTAGGCTGTGGTGGAGGTGCTGGCAGGGTGCTCAGCCTTCCATATGGGTAGAAGAAAACATCCTGTCAAAAGGAGCCCCACAGTCTTGGCCATGACCCTGGGGTTTGTTGTGGTCTTGGTTCTGGACCAGTATTCCTCGGACTGCCCCCAAGGAAACCCTCTTGCTTGGTGCTCTGAGCGAGCTGCCACTGCCTTCCTGGGAAGGGCGGGCAGGTGAGAAGATGCCTGTTTTCTGGGTGCCCTGGGCTGGGGGTGCTGGTATCAGAAGAGGCCAGCAGGGCAGACTCTTCTGGATCACTGGGGTCACTGGAGAAACAGATGGCATTCAGAAATTGGTGGTGTTGGTGGCTGCCTTACATCAGACTCAGTAACTGGCACTGGATAAGTGTCAACTTGAAGGGGAAGTACATGCTGTGTGCCCACCTGGCTGGTGGCCCCAGGCTAAGGCTGGCCAGGGAGGGCCAACTTGGTGCCTTTCAGGGCTGAGGGCACAGAGTGGGTGCTAATGGAGGAGGAGGCAGAGAGGAGTCGGGGCGAAGGGTGGCATGTGGTGCTCCTGCCCCTGTGGACTCAAGCATACCCCGTGAGGACTTTCTCAGGGTCAGCACCCAGACTTCCGTCCCCATGTGCTGTGTGGCCCCAGACCCCACCTGGCCAAGCAGCTGTGTTCTGTCCCTAAGGCCTGCACGACTGCCAGCTCACCTGGTGCTCTCTGAGGCCACATCTGGTTTCTGTTTACTCCACGAGGCTATAACAGAACACACAGCTCCTCTCAGAAACACATGCTGTTTGTTTTTAGCGTGTTCTCCAATTTTCTAGCCATCTAGCCTCCCCTTTAACTGACGGGCTGCCTTAAGGCAGAGCTGGGGACAGGGTTGTTTTTTTTCTTTTGGCCAGAGCTGGGTTTGAACCCGCCTCCTTCAGTATATGGGGCTGGTGCCCTACTCCTTGAGCCACAGGCACCACCATACATCTGGGGACAATGTGGCTTTTGCTGGTGTGCCCTGTTGGACTGTCTGGTGAGTTTTATTGGTCTCTGATGTTTCAGAGGCCAAAAATTGTACCTGCTGACTTGGGTGAGAGCTCTATGCTAGCCTTGGGTTTAAGCCCTGCTGTCTCAGGGGCACCCTGCCTGGCACGTGTGGCCTGGGCTGCAGGCGCTGCCACTGCAAGCATGACTGAGTCCCTGTGGAGGTCCCTGAAGACAGTGCTCTGTCAGGCCAGTCAGGCTGCTCCTCTGAGCGCCACAGCATCCCCAGGGCCTGGTTCTGTGGCGTCTGCTCTCTCCTTGCAAAGCTGTGGGTTCCTCCCAACACCTCTTGCCCCCTTGCTGTACCTGGTTGACAGCTTGTCCCTGTCTCTCTGTGGGGTGAGCACAGCTGTACTTCTGCTTGGTGAGAAAAAGGCAGAGGTCTGGCTAGAGAGGGGACCCAGACTGCAGCAATGTGACATGGCACTTGCTGGTGGTGATATGTCACGTGTGTGGACAGAGGACAGAAGTGATCACACGTCTATGCACTAAGGCTGGGGGGGCACATGGACCAACACAAGCCTGAGGCTGTCAGGAGGTCATGACCCTTTCCTGTCTCCCAAGTGGTCCTTTATGAATCTGCCAACTCACTGGACAAGGATGACAATAGGAGGAGAGGTGTTTGGGATACAGTGAGGAGCTGTTGAAGGCCGCCCCAGCAGGGCATGGGAGAGCTATCTGCACAGCTGGGGGACGGGACAGGTGTGTGCAGCTCATGAGCCCCTTGGTGCTCTGTCCAAGGCCTCTGGATCTTCTTCCACCTCTACATGAGAGGCAGTAGTGGGTATGCAAGCCGGTCCTTGCAGGAGCCCGTGCCACCTGCTGGAGGTGTGCAACTCAGGACCGGCTGTGTGGCCCTTTGCCTGGCACTGTAGCCACCCAGCCGGCCACTCCAGGTGTCAGGAGCCAGATGATCTGAGTCACTGGGATTCCCCTCAATTTGTAAAGACAAGTCATCTGCCAGCCAAGTCCAGAAGTTTGGGTTTTAAAGTTAAGCCTTCAGTGAGTCATGCTTTCTTCATGCCCCCATCAGGGAAAGTCAGAAATCAGTCTGTAGGAAATTAACCTGAAAGCAGGGACTAGCTTAAAAGAGTTCCTTCTTAACAGGCCATTTTACTTGTTTTTAGACAGGGTTCACTCTGTTGCCCAGGCTGGTCTACACGGGTTACAGGCACGAACCACTATGCTGACTGGGTGGCCTTTGCCTTGCTTCCCAAGTTACAGCCTTTGGCTCCTGAGTCTCCTGAACTCGGGGCTCTCCTTGAATTGATGGGGGATTTTTCATCAGTGAGCTGCTGGGATAATTTTTAAAAATCACTTTCTTTTGGGCTGGGCGCAATGGCTCACATCTGTAATCCCAGCACTCTGGGAGGCCGAGGTGGGTGGATTGGCTGAGCTCACAGGTTTGAGACCAGGCTGAGCCAGAGCGAGACCCCCGTCTCTAAAAATTAGCTGGATGTTGTGGTGGCGCCTGTAGTCCCAGCTACTCAGGAGGCTGAGGCTTGAGCCCAAGAATTTGAGGTTGCTGTGAGCTAATGCCATAGCACTCTACTGAGGGCAACAACATGAGACTCTGTCTCCAAAAAAAAAAAAAATCGCTTTGTTTTGGAGGCTGGCACTCTGAGGTGACTGTGCTTATCATTACTGATGGCATATGCATAGAGGGCAGCAGGGTGAAGCCATTGCCCAGTGGAGCTGCCTGTGTACTGGCTGCAGTTGGGGGATACACAGAGGAGCCCCACCCACCTCCAAGGTGGACCCCAGCCTCAAACATGCTGGTCAGGGGTCTATGGTGAGTGTTGCCTCTTCCCCTCCCAAGAAGGAGGATTGTGACCCTGGGTCACACCCATGTCTCTGTGTCTGATCCAAAGACAGTTGAGCCAGAACAGAGCCTGAGCAGCCCTGGGTCCCCTTGTGCTGCTGGGCAGTGGGAAGGGAAGGCCTGGTGTCTGTTTCTGAAGGGGGCAGTGTGTGTGTGTGTGGGGTGTCACGTGTTACTATGTTTGCACATTTCTGCATGTGAGATGAGCTGACGACCTGTATCCCAGTGCCTGCCAATAAGGAGTGGCAGAATGCAGCATGAACATGGAATTTCCTGATCCTGGGTGCCGGTGCTGGTGGTCATGCTTTTGTGACTGGAGCTAACACCACTCTTGAGCTGAGTGAGGGCGGCCGGGATGGCTGTGTGTACCAGGTGGGGCTCCTGCCCGTCTCACAGAGGCCTCCCTGCTGCAAGTCAGCCAGTCTGTCACTCACCTCCTAAGGGAAGGAGTCTGGATGCGGAGTCCCTCTCAGAGGCGTCTGCACACCACCTAGGGCTGTGTCCATGCCCATGCCTGGCAGGACACAGTGTGTTTTTCAGTCGCTAATTTTGAAGTTTTGTATTAGTTTCACTTTGGCCTGGAGGCCCTTGTTGGCACCCTGTCCCTGATGAAAGGCTAGTTCCGTTTTGGAAAGGCTGTGTCTGCTGCCTGCGGACAGCTGCAAGAGGACAGGCATGGGGGCAAACCTGGCTGGGCGGCACCACCTTGCTCTGTCCAGCCCTGAGCTCCCATCCCCCAGAGCCAGAGCGGCAGGACACTCAGAGGCATGGTGTTCCTGGGAGGTTTCCCAAAGGAACCTACAAGGCAACTCCACGTGTCCCATGGCCCCTCTTTGTCCTTGCTGTCCCAGGTCATTGATTCATGGCCGGGTGACAAACTGAGTTCTGTTTCCTGCTGAGAAAATGGCTGCTCAAGGCAACTGTCCTGTTAGGGGTGCCGATCGATGTCCCTTGTTCTGTGTGCTCTTCCCTCATGCCTCGTTTTCTTGGCTCTGTGACCACAGCACCTGTTGTGGAGGCTGGCACTCTGAGGTGCATCTGCACACCGTGGCCCTCCAGGGGCAGTGTGTGGTGGGACCAGTGTGTCACCTGCAGGGAGGTTGGGTGGCCGTGTACCTCCTGAAGCAGTTACTGACTCAACAGTGCACCAGGGTGTCTGCTTGTGGCTGTCTGGGCCATTACCCAGCTGTTCAGGACACTCTGCTGTGATGGCCATGGCATACTTTCCAAGGTGGAAGACGGGTCTCTCGAGTGATTCTGTTTCCTCCTTTGGGAGGTGGTGAGACCCACAGGCCCCCTGAACAGGGTGTGTGTGACCCACGGGGCCTGTGCATACTGAGGGCTGCAGTGCCTATGTTGGGGCACATGCAGCTTCACTGCGGTCCACAGGGGACTTTCATCTCCCCTTTGCTGGGCAGCATGTGTCCCGGAGATGGCCCTAGAGCAGTGGTTCTCAACCCACAGGAACTGTATTAAAGGGCCACAGCGTTAGGAAGGTTGAGAACCATTGTCATAGAGGCTGTTTGGGGGCCTCTGGAATGCCACGAGTCCAGTTTTCAAAGTTTTTTCCACTTAGCTTGTTCTGTGTTGTTGCCTAACACACAGAAAGTGGCTTTTTAGAATGGTTATAATTACCTAACTGGCTCTTTTTGGACCAGTTCTACAGACCCACCGGCTGCTGTGCTCTGCTTTGTGGCTCTGAGCTCAGGTCTTGGGGGCACAGATCACACGGCAGTGAAGGCCCCAGATTTGGCAGGCTTTCCTTTTTTATTTTTTGAGACAGTCTCATTCTGTCACCCAGGCTACAGTGCCATCGCATCATCTTGGCTCACTGCAGCCTCACATTCCTGGGCTCCAGCAGTCCTCCTGCCTTGGTCTCCCAGGTAGCTGGGACTATAGGCCCTACCTTGCCTGGATAATTCTTCTATTTTTAGTAGAGATGGAGGTCTTACCATGTTGCCCAAGCTGGTCCCAAACTCTTGGCCTCAAGGACTCCAGCACCTTGGCCTCCCAGAGTGCTAGGATTAGGCGAGAGCCACCAGCCTTTCCTTTTTTTCTCTTAATTCCTTCTGATGTATATTTTCCCAGTCTGCAGTAAATTGGCAGGATTGCAAAATTAACATTCCCAATGCTGGTTTCCTATGGCCCATGCTCCCCTCCCCCTTGCAGAGGGGGCAGGCAAGGGCGGAAGCAGGGTGGCGGTGGCCGGTCAGTCACAGGTTCCTGCTGCCATCTGGTGGTAACCGCTGAGGGCTGCATGGAGTCTGGGTCTTCTGCCCTGGTCAGATTTGATTGCATTTTGACATATTTGTGTTATGAACACACATGAGAAATGACAGTTTTTTGTGCTACTTAGCTGTTAATGATTGAATAGGAAACAAAACAACTGCTGAAACCTCATGTTTGGTGGGGGTGCTGGCTGCTGAGTGGGGTGGTGAATGGTGCAGCCTGTGGAGGCTGCTCAGCTGGCCATGCTGTGCCCACAGCCCAGGATCCGCCTGTGGACAAGGCCGAGGACAGCCGTGACAAACCAAAGCTGCCAAAGGAGAGGGAAGACCTGGAGCAGGCCCAGATCAAGGGCCCCGTGGCTGTGCCTGGGCCGGAAGACGCCAAGGAGACACAGGAGGAGGCGCAGCTCGACCGCCCTGGTCAAGGTGGCCTGGCGCTAGCTGCAGGGGATGGAGGGCAGAGGTGGGAGGAAGACAGGAGAGCAAGGGGCCCTGGCTATGCTGTGGAGGACTCTGAGGCTGTGTGTCCTTTTTCCTCTGTCCGGTCTAAATCCTAGTCCTGTTTGTCTGCTATGTCCTCTGACTGGCCAGAGCTGCCTGCTTGCAGCTGTCCTGCTGCATCTTTCTGGAAAGTGTCAGTGTCCAGCCAGACTTCAGGGAGACCTGATGGGAGCTGGGCCTCCTCAGCTTGACCACCTACCTGTTGTCTGTCCTTCTAGGGGTTGCTGTCCCTATGGGTGAGGCCCACCGCCACGAGCCCCCTGTCCCTCATGATGAAGTGGTGGTAGATGAAGGCCAAGACCGGGATGGCCCAGAGGAGAACAAGCCTCCGTCCAGACATGTAGATGAAAAGGCTCCAGAGAGCAAAGGTCAGATGGCGCTGCCCCTGCCACATTCAGAAAGAGAAGAACGGGAGCCAGAGAAGGGGGAGGTCGGCAAGAGACCTGGACAGGACCAGGCCGCGGAGGAAGCAGGTGGTCTTCCTGAAGAGCCCCAGAAGGTTCCAGAAGCAGATGGTCAGCCAGCTGTCCAGCCAGCAAAGGATGACCTGGGGCCCGGCAATCAGGACCTGCCTCCAGGGCCCCGGGCAGCACTGTCTGAGGAGCAGAATGCCCAGGCAGCAGGTGTGGGGGAGAAGGCGGGCAGGGCGCTGCTGCCGAGAGACTCTGCGGGGGACAGCGAGCTGGGTGGGTGTCAGCCTGACCTGGGGAGGTTGGGGGCGTGGGAGGGATTGAGGAGGTCCCTACCTCTGCCCATCTTCCCCCCCCCCCACGATTAGCACGTGCACAGGGCGGCCCTTGGCAGCTGGTGGCTTGACAGCTCCTCTCATATCCGTCACACGCTACCTGCCAGACCACTAAATGTCAGGTGCCACAGTGTTCTCCTGTGTCTGTGTGCATGGGCAGCACAGGGAGCACTTGACAGGTAGCACGTTGTTTAGTGCCGTCTAGGGCTGGCTGGGATGCTGCTTGCATTTTAATTGGTGAAGGTGGTTGATGTTGGCTCTGTGCCACTAGCCTATGAGATTGAGAAATTTTTTTTATTACTTCCCAGGTAATCATCAGGTTGAATGTAAACTGTGCTGATGGGGGAGGGGTTGATGGAGTCATTTTAGAAACATCTGCTGCCTCCTTTTGTCCCTCCTCTTCCTTCTGGGCCCCTTGTGACTTTCTTGCAAAACCTGAGCCCTCCTTTGTGTGCAGGTGGGAAGGCCCCCCTCCGGGAAGAGAAGCCGGTGCCTGGGCCTGGGCCTGGGCCTGGGCCGCCCCCAGAACCCCGGGAGCAGAGGGATGCGGAGCGACTGGGCAGAGAGCAGGCAGGCAGCAAGTTGGAGGGTAAGGCCTAGTTCTAGTCTCAGGCCCAGGGGGCTGGTAGTCTCCTCCTCAGCCACAAGGCAAAGATGGGCCACCCTGGGGACACCCTTTTCCCAGCCCCACTTCTCTTTGTGACTGTCTGCTGACCAAACACCTTCAGTGGTGCCCTCCTCTCCCTACTAACAACTTCCTTGCTGGCACTCCCCTGGGAGCATTCTATCTCCCTTTCTCCACTCTAAAAAAAACCTGTCACTCTGTTATATGGCTTATAATTACCACTTTCATTTCATCTTAAAGCAGGTATGTTAATATTTCTAATACTCGTGGTATTTAAAGCCAGCCAGGTGTGCGGCGCTCAGCACCTAGATGTATGGGCTGACATTAAGGCTTGCTCTGCTGGGGACCCAGGCTTCCTCTGTAGGGTGGGCGCCAGCAGTCATCGCCACAGCCAGGCCTGCTGAGCATTGTCCTGACAGGCTCTTGCCACACCATGTCCCTGTTGTCCCTTGAGGCTGCTCTCCTGAGCTGCTATCCCAGGCATCACTTGATGCTTCTCTCAGAATGCCGAGTTCTCTGGGCCTGTCACACAGTGTTGGCATTGGGAGGGTGCGTCCTGGGACCTGTGTGGGGGTCCAGGACCAGTGGCTCCACAGGACCAGTGGCTGCTCAGCTCTCCTGAGCCTGGCCTGGGAGCAAGTCCTTGGACCTCAGGATCAGCTTTGGTTTTGGACACAGTCCCTGCTATCCAGGAGTCATGTGCTTCCTTCCCTGGCCCATCTGTGCCTGGGGCACTATGTCCTCCAGAGTCAGCCCTGGATGGTCCTCTGGGCTCCAGGCTGACCTTGGGCACCTGCAGGCTGGGGGGCAGGACAGAGGCACATGCTGGGTTTCTGGAGCTCAGGAGCTGCTTCAGGTCTCACGTTTTCTGTCTCCTTTTAGTTTAATGTCCTTGCCAGCCCCAGTCCTGTGATCTAAACGTAAACCTGTTTGATTCTTTGATTTTTTTCTTTCTAAAAAAGAGACTTTTCACAGTTCCCTATTCTGCCTTTCTTCTGTATGCCTCTCAACGGACGAACAGCTGAAATTAAAAAGATAGTAGCAGGTAGGAATCAAAGGAGTTTGTTCACATAAGAAGTGCATTTGTGGAGGTCACAGGGGTGAGGCCAGGGCTTTGGCTGTACCCTGGCCCCAGAACAGCCCTGCATGAGTTCACAGTCGGGGCCAGAGGCCAGCACAGACCCCATGGGGCCCCTGGTACCTTGGTACCATCCCCCTTTTTGCAAATGCCTTGGTCTCCTCAGTCCTGCCATGGCACTGCTGTCCTCAGTGGATGGCTGAGTGACGGCTGTGGGTGCAGGCTGCTCAAAGCACCTCCTGAGATGGGTGTTGGCCTCCTGAGCTGCTGCTGAGTGTGTGGCTGACACTGGTGCTCCCACTTTAGGCCTGGTCCCTGGGGTCCAGGTGGACTCTGGCTCTGGATAGCTGTCATCTCCACGCTGTTTACTTCTGTCCCTGCGGCTTCGTGCTGGATGTGGCACCCTTCCCTCTCCTCTCTCCTCTCCCTCCTCCCTGTTCTTCCTGACCCTGGGGGCGTGGGGGCAGAGAGGCATCAGCTGCATGTAGAACCTTGTCCTTGTACAACTGACCACGATGTAACCAAGACTTGCAGACACCCTGGGTGACAGCATGGCCCATGGCTGAGGTGGCTGGTCTGCAACCCAGTGGGGAGGGTGCCCTGAGCTTCCTTCTTCAGCTCTGCATGGCATGGCCTGTCCTGCTGCCCCAGAGCTGACTTGGTGGTCTATCCTCCTCAGAGTTGGTCTCAGTGTCCTGGCTTGTCCACCCACCTGCATGTCCTTATATGGGCCACTTGGAGTCTGGGTGGGCCTCAGGCTGTGTTCCTGGGAGAATGCTGACATCACCACTACTGGAGACAAAGGCTCAGATGTCAGTCTGGTTGGGCACGCGGGGGCCCTCACTGGAATATTTGCTCTCACTCTCACTACCTGCAAAACATTCTTCTTGCTTCTGATTTAAACTTCTACACCTGACAGTTTACCCCCTTATCCTTCAAAGTTTAGTAATTTAGAAACATACATGCTGTGAGAAACGGCATAAGCTGTGGCTGCTCACTGTAGCTACCCGCCCCTGCTCGCGCAGTAAAAAGTATGCCGGGACCCTGACTACTGTGGGGCCTGGAGCAGTGGGCAGCACAGCTGGCCCGGACCTCAGATGCTCCAGCTCCATTGCTCTAATTAAGATAGTTTTTGTTTTTAAAATTCTCACTTTGGAGGAATCTTTCTAAAAGAACTAAGAGTCTTTGTGAAAGTAGTTTGTTACTTTGTTTCCGTGTATGCTTAACCTAGAACATCTGACCATGTAAAATAGGGCATTCCTGCCTGGGCTGGACAGCTGATTTTGATGCTCTGCCCATTCCTCTGACTGGGCTTTCTTGGCACACTGTCTGCAATGGGCAGCATGTGGGCCAGCAGGGCTCTGCCGGGTGTGCCCACACGTCAGCTAGTTGGAAAACTGGAGCAGGTAGCACAGTCACTGGTCTGGCCCGTGAGTGAGTTGGGTGGGCTTATGTGATGTGATGAGAAGGGGTGTCTGGGGCAGGATTCTACAGGTGAGCTTGTGTCTTCACTGCATGTGCTGAGCTGTCTGCCACCCGGCTACACGTCTGGCAGCCTCCAATATCCTCTGATTGCATTTTTCCAACACCGGAAGCTGGCAGAGCCGAGATGCTAGACCACGCCGTCCTGCTGCAGGTGATCAAAGAGCAGCAGGTGCAGCAGAAGCGCTTACTGGACCAGCAGGAGAAGCTGCTCGCAGTGATCGAGGAGCAGCACAAGGAAATCCACCAGCAGAGGCAGGAGGATGAGGAGGACAAGTCCAGGCCAGGTAGGCTGGGCTGGGGGCAGAGCCAGGGCGGGTTGTGGTGTCCTCCTATGGCTGGACCTGAGGTTTGGGGGCATAGACTCCTAGACGGTGGGGCTAGGTTTGGGTTCATAATTCCTAATTTCTGCAAGCATGTCTTTTTCAGTCCCTCTGTTAGTAGTTGGGTTTGTTTCCTTGGCTAAACTGGTAACTGGGTTCATTTGCAGTGGACGCACAGCCAGAGCCTGGGGCAGCCATGCTTAGAGGTCAGGAGGCCCGTGATGGCCAGGCCGGGGAGAAAGCGGAGAAGTCCCTTCTGCAGCCTTTGGAACCTGAGCTCGGCACTCCTGGGGATCACCCTGCTCAACCACAAGGGCCTGGCCACCGCTCCTGGGAGGCTGGTGGTGGCTCTGACACAGAGCCTCAGGTAGCACAGTCCAAGCCGAGAGAAAGCCAGAAAGGCACTCTGCCGGTGGTGGCCAGCATCGTGAAGGAGCTGCCACACCAGGGTCTGAAACCAGTGCCTGGGAGCTCAGAGCAGCACCCTGCTAAAGAGTCCCCCAGGCAGAGTCAGGATGGTCTTGGTGGACATTCTCAAGAAAGAAAGAAACACAGGGAGGTGGCAGCAGATGTCGGCACCAGCATTCGGAAGGGGGATGATAGGTTTGTGGCAGGGCCAGGAGGGACTGGGGACCCTCATGTGAAGTCCAAGCAAACACACCAAGATCTGGGCCTTGCAGTGGGCCTGCCCAGCAGGTTGGAAGGGGCAGTCCCTCAACCCCACGCTGTGTTGCGTCAGCCAGAACCTCGTGCTGTCTCTGATGGGACTCGGTTTGGGCAGGAGGGTGTCAGGCTGGGCCATGGTGCTGTCCCAGAGACGGGAAAGGAGGCGCTTGGGGGGGACCACGTGCCACGTGAGCAGCTAGGAGCTGGGGAGGATACTGCTGCCCAGGGGCCCAGGCAGAGGCCAGACCCTGACCCCAAGCTGGCTGTCCCTGGGGGTCAGAAGTCAGACAATGCCAAGCCAAACCGAGACCTAAAGCTGCAAGCTGGCTCCGACCTACGGAGGAGACGGCGGGACCTTGTCCCACATACAGACGGGGAGCCAGCACCCGAGGAAAGGGTCATCAGCTTTAACCCCCTACCCCCTGATGTCCAGGCAAATGACCTCCGTGAAGCCTTGGATGCTCAGCTCCGGCAGGCTGCAGGGGCCGCCCTGCAGGTGGTCCACAGCCGGCAGATTAAACAGCTGCCTGGGGCCTCAGAGGAGTCTTAGACCTGGGTGGTGAGACTCACCCAACTGAACTCTGGAGGTTAAGCTCTTTTCTCCCCTTGGGTTTTACGTCTGAGACCCTTACAGAGTTTGGTGTGTGAAGGTCAAAAGGATTTTGTTTCCAGAATTTCTTGCCATTCTTTTGCACTTCTCGGCCTGAGGTCCTCAGGCCTCTCCAGACCCATGCTTGCTCCTGCCCACGAGGAAGAAGCTGTGTGTGCCTGTGCTGGCCAATGCGACACACTCTGCGGCTTGGGGTTTGAGGAGAGCCCTGGCTGAGTCTGAGGCTGGGCACCGTGTTGCCATCCCATCACCTATGGGGAGCCTGTGGGTATTTAGGTTGAGCTGGATGGTGAACCTGGGGTATAGACGCCTTCATCAGGCCGACTGCAGTCCCAACCATTCAACCACGAACTCTAGTGATGTTGTTGTAATTATTTATCTGTTTTCTGTGCATGTTGTAGAGAATCTCAAATAAAACCTTTGCCTTCACCCTGCCTTTCGCAGGGACCTCTGGGAGGCACCAGGAGCAGAGGCTGGGCGGGTGGGGTTCTTTGACCATCTGCTCTTCTCTGGGAGGTCTTTGTTGAAGTCACGTTGTTAGACTGTTTAAAGAACATCACAGAGACCTGACGGTCAAGTGGACACTGAGGGAGAGCCCCAGGAGTTGGATGACATCAAGTACCCATACTCTTCACCAAATGTCAGGATGGCCTGTGAACCCTACATGTCCCAGCCCCAGGGAGACCCTGCAAACAGGACACCTGCCTGTGCTCGAAGCTGTCCAGCCCCCAGGGCTAGGCTGGCACATCTGGCCTGCTGGTGGGGGGAGAGGCTCCTGTGGGGGTGCAGTGACCTGCTTCGGGGAAGGGGTAGGCCACTGTGGGGGTACATTGGCCTATCTGCAGGTGCTGCCTGGCCCCAGCCTGGAAGCTCCAGTTCACCTTCCCTTTTCCTGTATGGTGAGTGTGGTGGTCAGGGCCTTGCTTGGGGCAGGGGAGTATGGACATGAGGTTCCTCTCCTACTCCTTTTGGTCCAGAAGGCATGTTGTGTTTTGACAGCATTCAGCCCTGGGGACACTGCTCCCTGGCACTAGGCTGCAGATGCTCCTCGGAGGTAGAGGATCCAGACCAGAAGCAGCCTCCTCCCGAGACCCTTTTGAGGGGTCTACCTCCCTGCCTGTGAAGTGAGCCCTAGACCCTGCCACAAAGGGTAGAGGTTTGGTCAGGGGTACTTGGGGCCCAGGAATGGACTATTTGCAAATAGTCCCCACATAGTGGCCTCGCCATGGCTCAGTGGTGTTCTCTCCCCTGCACCTTATGAAATCTTTTTCGCTTTTTATTATGATCTATTTTTTTGAGACAGTCTTTCTCAGTCACCCTGAGTAGAGTGTCATGGCGTCAACCTAGCTCATAGCAACTTCAAACTCATGGGCTTAAGGGATCCTATGCCTAGGACTACAGGTTCCCACAATAACTGGCTAGTTTTTCTATTTTTTGTAGAGACAGGGTTGGCTTGGTGCCCATAGCACAGTGGTTATGGATTCAGCCACATGCACTGAGGATGGCAGGTTCAAACCCCGCCCAGGCCAGCTAAACAATGACAACTGCAACAAAAAAGTAGCTGGGCATTGTGGTGGGCGCTTGTAGTCCCAGCTACTTGGAAGACTGAGGCAATAGAATCGCTTAAGCCCAAGAATTTGAGGTTGCTGTGAGCTGTGACATGTGACACAATGGCACTCTACTGAGGGTGACATAGTGAGCCTCTGTCTCAAAAAAAGAGAAAAAAATGGAGAGACAAGATCTCAGTCTTGCTCAGGCTGGTCTCAACCTCCTGAGCTCAGACAGTCCTCCTACCTTGACTTCCCAGAGTGCTGGGATTATAGGGAGTGAGCCATTGTGCCAGGCCTTCATTGTGATTTAACTTGAAGGACATCAACAGGCAGCCTGAAGCCTTGAAAATGAACAGTAAAGGAGCAGAAGCTTCCAGAGGCTGAACTCCAGGAACTAGGCCTGGGGGCTGAAGAGGTTGTAGTCACTGCTCACACCTGAGGGAAGGGCCTAGTGGCGGGCATGCCATCAGGGTTGCTCTCCCCTCTTCATTCTTGAATAAAGCAGTGTGTCGTCCCCCCCTCCGCCCCCAAACAAACAATGCCAAGCCTCTTCCAGGAGCTTCTCAGACTGCAGCTCCACTTGTTAAGTTGCTTGGGGTGGTTGTCATTCTACTGGACTTGCCTGGGTCTCACGTTGGTCTCGTTTCCTTTCTGCTCTGGAGGTCATTACCCTTGTTAGAGCAGGGCAGGGCTGCCACAGCCCAGCACAGAATGTCCACAACTCGCATGGCTCCACCGTTGTGATTACCACACTCCCAGGTGCAGGCAGGCCGACACCCCCACCCTGCACTCCTTCACTCCAGGCTCTCAGCCCCCAGGAGAGAATATGAACTCTGGAATTCCCAGTCACACTCATTTCGCCCTTGAGTTTTATACTGGGGCCCTTATGGAGTTTGGTGTATGAAGACCAAAAGGATTTTGTTTGTAGAATGTTCTTTCCATTCTGCTGGCTGCCCCTCAGGTAAGGAGAGAAACTTCTCAGACAAGCCACACACATGCTGGTGTGCTGGTCAGAGCTGTGTGGAAGGGCTGGGACTGGGTCTGCCCTCTCCCCACAGCTGCTCTCATCTGGGCTGTGTGCCTCGTAAGTCCAGGTCAGCCCTGGTGCAGGCCTCCTGGAGTAGGGACACCTGGGGACAGAACTTCCCAGCCAGCAGCACCTGCTTCTATTCAGGGCAGACTGCGCCCAGCATGGGATTGAGGGCTGGAACTTGGGCCTCAAAGAACTCCTGGTGTTGCCCAAGGGCCAAGATGTTCCGGTGGCTTGAAGGTGTCTCCTCCAAAGCTCAGGTGTGGCTAATGTGATCCTGTGAAGAGGTTCCACATGTTGGGTAGCTGCTTTCTTGCTCCCCACCTGCCACGTGAGAACACAGCAAGGCGGCCCACCTGACACCGATCTTGGGCCTCCTAGCCTGCAGAATGGAGCCTTGTCGACTGCCCTGACCCAGTACTTCTGTTGCAGTGGCAATGGACAGATAGTGTCAGCACATCATGGGATGATGTTGTTTATTGAATAGCTCTGCAGATGTGGTCCTGAGATGGAACAAGTCTGGGGACAGTAAGCAGAGCAGTGCAGAGGCAAAAGCTGACAGAGGCATGGAAAGAAATTGGGACACTGAAGGAGGGGCCCTGGGTGGGAATACCTGACCAGGCAGGGCTGCAGAGGCTTGGGAAGATACTGGAGCACCAGGCAGTATGCTATCTAAGGAGTCAGTCATGGATACGAGTATGGCCAGGTTCGAGAAAGGCAGCCCAAGGTGGCTGGTGCGGTGATGTGCTAGGCAACGGGGCTGTCCATGGCCACAGTGGTTCAGCTCAGGGCCCTGCCCCGATGTTCTAGTTAGCAATATGCCTGCCTTTGCTACCCAGTGGAAGCTGCAGGGGGTTGGGGGTGGTGCTGGTGTCCTATACAGGCCCCTCAAGGCAGTTCAGGCCCCAAGTGCTTTAGTCCAAAGGAGCCCCTGCCCTAAGCCCAGGACAGAGGACAGTCATTGTGGAAGGTTCCCTACCCAGGGAATATTTTCCCTCATGGTGTCACTGCACTTTTCTCTTCAGTATCTCCTATTAACATAGTGAGGTCTGCAGGCTCCTCTAGATTCAAAATAGACATTTTGAGGGACAATGCTGTTTTTTTTGGCCAGGGCTGGGTTTGAACCTACCACCTCTGGCATATGGGGCCAGCACCGTACTCCTTGAGCTACAGGCACAGCCCCCATGCTGTTTTTTTTGTTTTGCCGTTTTTGGCCAAGGCCTGGTTTGAACCCGCCACCTCTGGTATATGGGGCTGGTGCCCTACCCCTTAAGCCACAGGCTCCGCCCTGAGGGACAATGCTTTTAAGTGGGGACCCTGCCCTGCCATTATACTTGGGACAGGTTGGGGCCCATTCACCACACGCTGCACAAGTAAACGACACCATGGCTGCTGGAGAGAGGCTTTATGCTGGTTCCATTACACCTTATTCTCACAGACCCTTCAGACACAAACTAAGGAAAACAAATTCGTGCTCTGCCCATGGCTCAAGCCACTGAGAAGAAACACAGGGGATAGCTCCAGGAGCTTTAGGGCACTGACATTCCCGCAGACTGACTGCCATGTGCTGCTCTGCACCAAGGGGCAGCAGATGGGTGTGAATGCAGTGCTGAGAGCCCCTCCTAACGGCCTCCATCCAGGGTCTTCTTGGCCTGAAAGAAAAAGCATTTTCTCTGAGTGGCTTGTTTCCAAGTTAGATTTGGCTTAAAAGTAAGAAATCTACCAGATCAAATGCCACATTCTGCCAAACAGCCTACAAAGAACTTGGGTACTGGCATGGGATGTGGTAGGCTTGGTTGGTTGGTGCTCATGGGCCCCTGGGTCTGGGTCTTCAGGTCATCTGTCCCCAGAACAAAGGACTTCCAGTGATCTATGACACCCAGCAGACCTCACTGCTGCACCTATCTGGAGTAGCCGGTAGTAGCCCCCACCCCCCCACTTTGGTCCCATACTTTTATAAGGGGCAGCAAGAAATCCTTACGGAGGAAAACTGAGATTCAGAGATGCTGAAATTACCTGCCCAGTTGACAGGGCTGGTGGGATGGAGCAGGAATCTGAGCCCTTCCACCCTCTCAAGCCAGGCCCCCACTAGTTCCTGGGACCACAGGGAGGAGAGGCCAAAAAGGGGCCCATCACAAATTTCATTATTGTGAGAAACCTCAAGGACCTGGGCCTGCAACCAGGTCACCTTTATAGAGAAGCTTGGCTTGTGTCACTGAGTGAGGGGTTCCACTAGATGAAGGGCAGGAGAGCCATAGACAGGAATGTCATCCTTTGATCCAGACAGAGGAGTGTGAGGTAGGTGAGGTCACAAATGACCAGATGCCTGGACAGTTAATTCCTCATTAGACACAGAAGATGTGGTAGAGAAAACAAAATTCCCTAGGACTGTGACCTTTACCTTAGGTGTAAGGACTTCAGAAGAGTTGCTAACTGGCAATCACAGAATGCAAAGGCGGCCTTTCCCCTCTGGGAGGCCCTTAAAGCTAGTAAACTGTCACAAAGCAGGAAGCAAGTCAAGGGCAACAGGAAAGTCACCCACTCCTGCAACTGGGCTGGGAACAAGGGCTGCCAGAGTGGGCCCCTAATGATAGTAACCAGGGTGATATGAGTCCAGAACAACTCTTCTTGAACTAAATGGGTATCCCACACATGGCCCATTCTGCAAAAGATGACTGGAACATCCAGAAACTCTGCATGGCATTCCCTGAATTTTGCAGAGCTCTTACCTAGCTTACCCTTTCCCCAGTTCAATTCTGATCACCAGCTCCTAGTAAACAGAGCTAACCTCTGGCATTGTGGCTCACCCAGACTCACGACTCAGAGGCACCCAAAGTGGCCATGCTTTGGGAACCAGCCCTGTCAGCAGACAGCACCCTTCTTGTCCTATTCTGGAACACCCATCGTGCACCAGGCTCCACACCTCTGCAAAGGTCTGCCAGCCTTTGAATCCGCTTGCAAACATGGACCTGCAATTCTTTACCTGTGTACAGTACGTGGGGATTTTCACAATAATTTGGGCACAGCATTTGATCAGACAAGGATCAGAAACGCCAAGCTAAGAAACAAAAGGTGCTTTATGCTTAAAGAGTTAGAGGCAGAACTTGCTCGGGACTAAGACCCGCAGGTCCTACCACACCCTGCTGCTGCTGCAGTGAGAACCGGCGCTTGGCACACTTAGCCGAGACGCTCCAGTGGCTTCTCCTCTCACCCTCTGGACAAAAGGCGGCTGGGAGGAGAAACCGGTGGTGGCTAAGCTGAGGAAATGCACAGCGAGGCTGATACAGGCGGTACTGGGCATTCGCTTCGGGGCCTGTGTTGGGGTCCCCCGCCCCCGCCCCCTGCACGGCGCCCCTCAGCTCAGCGCCCACTCGAGAGCGTTCTCCCGCCAACCGTTTTAGCCCCGCTTTGCAAACACGTAGAAACGCCCCGTGACCGCGGAGGTTTCGCGGACTGCTTAGTGGGTCGGGGCCTGGTCGGCCGGTGCCCAAAGCACCCAGGAGGCACTGGCGCCCATAACCAACGTTAAAGGAAAGGAGGCCGGGTCTGGCGGGGCAGGGCTGGGAGGGGCCTGGGCCCACCTACCGCGGCGACGAAGCAGCTCCGTAGGGCCTTGAACTCCCGCGCGCAGAGATCCTTGCTCAGGCTGCCGCCCGGGGCCGTAGAGGCCTGCACGCACCTGCCGTACGCCGCGGCCTGCGGGAGACACGGGCACTGGTCGCTGGGGCCCCTGAGCCGGGCTGCTGCCTTCCCTCGTAGTCACCCACCACCCCGCGTGGTCCTTTCGGCCGAGCATCAACTAGCCCGCCTGCGACTCCTTACCTGGCCCCCACAGGCTGCCAACTGCTCGGGGAAGGCTCGCAGGCGGCTTCGCACGCGCCCCCATACCGCTCTGTTTGCGGACATGAGCGGCTCCCCTGGACGGCCCATGGACGCCACCACTCTAGGGCCGCTCTCTTCCCGTATCCAACAGCTAGATAGGTGGGCGCTTCCTCCCACAAGCGTTTCCTCCCTTCCACTTCCTAATTGGCCAGGCTTCGCCCGCCCTCGCACCCCCACAATGGGCTACTGAGCTTGTCTGCCTCTGGTCTGGGACATCGGATTGGCTCAGCCTCAAATTGTTCACGAAGGCGCCCTACCGCGAGCGATTGGCCGGTGAAGCCAGACACGCACGCGGATTGGAGGGTGCGGGCCTGGCGGAAGCGGGGCAGGCCGGGAGGTGGTCGTGACTATGGCGGCGGCGCCGCCTCTGCGTGACCGCCTGAGCTTTCTGCACCGGGTAAGTGAGGGGCCCGCCCCCTGCCCGCCGCTCTGCCCGGACGCCTCCCACGGCTGGGCCCTCGGAGCGCGGTGCGAACGGGTCATGCCCCTGGAGGTGATGTGATGAGCGCGGCCGGACCCTGGCGGGACTAACAGCATCGGTCAGTCGCTTCCGACCGGAGGGAAGGGGCAACTCAGGACTGGGGTGGTCGGCCGGACGCGGCGGCCACTGTTTGCTGCTGGTGGCCATCCAATCGGGATTCCTTGCCCCACAGTCTGAGAGACCCGCTGTCCTCCCCGCTGGCCTTCCGAGGGAGGCTCCCTGTCCCTAGGCAGACGCCCCTGGGTTGCAGGAGGTGACATCTCAGAGGGACAGAGAAGGACGAACAGTCGTGAGCGCTTTTGATAAGTGCTCTAGGAAAGAGAAGTCAGGGCTGTGGCCAGGTGCTGGCCAGAGCAAACAGTTCTTTCGACAGCCCTGGGTTTTCCCAGGCTGGACCTCCGAGGACTGGGTGGTCCCAGGAAGCCCCTTTCAGGCTGCTGGAAATCAGGTCTTCTAGCTTTGGGTTTAGACAGTCATGTGCCGAGCTCTGCAGTTCTCGCCTGTAAGCCTTTTGACCTCTCCAGCCCCTTTTTAGGGCTTGGTGGGCAAATCGTGAGATGTGAGTGCAAGTGCAAGTGGTGTGTGCCCACAGCTCATGTATGTGTTGTTTATATGTGGTCTGGACGCTAGGATAGCTGCTGTTCAAACCCGGCGGCTGTAGCTGTCCAGTGCTTGTCATTTTAGATAACCTTGAATTCCTACAGTCTGTCAAAATACCGAATGATAAGAGAATGGATGTTTCTGTTTTCATCGGTATGAACAGTGCATCTTTGTACTAATAAGGATGTAATGTAAACAAATATGTCTGTGGTTCGGCGCTTGTGGCTCAAGTGGCTAAGGCGCCAGCCACATACACCCAAGGTGGCGGGTTCGAATCCAGCCCGGGCCCGCCAAACAACAATGATGGCTGCAACCAAAAAAAAAAAAAAAAAAATAGCCAGGCGTTTGTGGTGGGCACCTGTGGTCCCAGCTACTTGGGAGGCAGAGGCAGAAGACTGGCTTGAGCCCACAAGTTGGAGGTTGCTGTGAGCTGAGATGCCACGGCACTCTACCCAGGGGGACAGCTTGAGGCTCCTGTCTCAAAAAAACAAAAAACAAAAAAACAAATATGTCTGTGCTGACAAGTGAACACAGAGGAACAAGACAAGAGGAACGGCATGAGTCAGTTGCTGGAGTCCTGGAGTCTGTCAGGCTGAGCTGCTGTGTGGTGCTGCTCACCCTAGCTCTGGAGAGGTGGAACCTTTCCTAGTCACCTTTGGGGAAGAGGCCTTGCCCAGGCTTTTTGCTAGTTAGTGGGGTAGGTATAAGAAAGGTCACCTCAAATCGCCTTAAGGTGAAAGTGCAGGGAGGCAGGGCTATGCCACAGCTTTTGACAAGTGGAGCAGCCCCCACAGGAGAACCACCATTGGTTTGCCTCTTCTTGGGGCTACTCAGCTCTCACTCTCCAGAGGGCCCCTCCTGCAGCCTTTCCTCCAGTCCTTGAAGACTCATCACAGGCTGGCCTTCTTGTTTCCTTTCAGCTCCCAATTCTCCTGAAGGGAACTTCGGATGATGATGTCCCGTGTCCTGGCTACCTGTTTGAAGAAATTGCTAGTATCCTTCCTTGACATTCCCTGTGTTGGGGATACAGTGGCTGCAGGGCCCTGGTGTGGCATGGAAGGGTACCAGGGTCCTCCTGAAGGAGGAGCAACAGCTCCTTTGTCATAGTAACCATTGGTGGGCAGGTCTGCAGGCTGTGAAACCCATGACACAACACAGAAGCCCCTAGAAGCCTAATGGCCCGAAACCAGGATCTATGGGAAGTACCTGCAGAGACCATGAAGGGAGTAGGCCAGTGGCTAGAGCAAGGCTGGCTTCTCCCTCTGGCCAGTGTGGCCTGCTGCATCCTCACCTTACTCCTTCCATAACCTGAGTGCACCCAGAAATCTCCCATGAGTCGCTGGGCAGCAGCCAGTGCCTGCTGGAGTATCTCCTGAATCGCTTATACAGTAGCTCTGGCCACGTGAAGCTCAAGGTGGGCCCCTAAGCGGTGGGGGTGGGGGGTGGGGACGGGGTGGGTGGGGATGAGCTCCCAGGAGTGGTACACAGCCCAGGGCAGCGAGTGGCTGTGTGTCCTCGGGGTGCTCCCTGGGCCTGCCCCTGAGTGTCTTGGCTTGGGCCTGCTGGACTGTGCTGACCACTGAGCTCCCAGGTGCTGAAGATCCTGCTCTACCTGTGTGGCCATGGCTCCTCATCCTTCCTGCTCATCCTCAGACGCAACTCTTCCTTCATCCAGGAAGCCACAGGTAGGGGAGCGTGTGGCCGTGCAAGGTGGGTTGCAAGCTATTAAATCCGCCCGGGCTTGCGAAGGAAGTCTTCAGCCAGGAACCTTGTCCTGTCATAGTCCCAGCATAGCCCCGCTTCCCTGTGGTCTTGCCCTGCGAATGTGACCAGGCTCTGGGCACCCTGTGCTATGTATCCTTCCCTCTCTTTCTGCCTGCCCTGCACCCCCAGCTCCACCAGCCAGCTCAGCCTTCCCCGGAGCACATAACCCCTCCCTTCACTGTGTCCTCTGCACCTCCCACGTATCCCTGGGCTGCATCTGTCCCAGCATTCACTGCCCTGGCCGCCTTCACTGGCTTTTCTGTCCTTGGGGACTTTCCCCAGGTCCCGGCTTTGGGCTGTCTCCTCCCCCAGGTCCCGGCCTTGGGCTGTCTCCTCCCCCAGGACTCCTCTGCAGAGCTCACAGTGTGGGCTGAGGGAAGGCGGGGCTGGGGTGTGGAGCTGGATGGGGGCCCAGCCTGTCTGTCCAGGCAGCAGGTGGGTCCAGGGTGGAGACCCTGTCCCTCACTCCCCACAGGCTGCCAGTCTTTTTCAACTCTAGCTGGTGAGGGCATTTATGGACACGGCCTGAGGTCTTCCCCTTGGGTTAGGAGAGTCTTGGTCAGAGATGGTGGGGGGTGTGCACACCTGGAGCTCTTTGGGGAGGAGCCTGGCACAGGCTGAGACTGGAGGTGGGGCGGTGGGGACCTGCCCTGTGGAGCTTTCATGCCGCACTGGAGAAGTTCAGTTTTATCATTTGATCCAGGAAGCCTCTGGAAGGTCTCAGACCGGATGTGGCCCCCCTTGATGGTGGCTCTAGGTGGAGGGGATGGGTTGAAGTGGGCAAGTGCCACTGTAGTGGCTGGGGAGAGACAAGATTGCCATGGAGGTGGGTGTGGATGAGGGTGGCCTGGGACCCTAGAGGGGCTCAGGAGCTCGGTGGCAATGTCAGGCTCAGCCCCCACTCCACACCCCCTCTCCCAGCAGCCTTGGCAGGGCCCCCGGATCCTCTCCATGGGAATAGCTTGTACCAGAAGGTGCGGGCGGCTGCCCAGGTGAGCCAGGACCTAGGTCACTCTGGGGCCACAGAGGATGGGGCCTGGGCACTGTGCACATGCTGCTCAGGAGTCCTGGGTCCACTCTCAGCTGCCACAGCAGAGCCCTCATGTTTAGCTGGTGGTTCTGGAAAAGTGGCTGGGGACTGGAGCAGTTGATGTGGGTTGGGCTGAGGACAGCAGCCCTGGGCTGTAGGAAGCTGAGGGCCTCCAACTTCTCCCTTAGGACTTGGGGAGCACCTTATTCTTTGACACCAAGTTGCCACTGCCTCCCTGCCAGCGCCCCGAGACATTGCCTCACACAGGTAGGACCCCTGCCCTCCTCGAGTTCTCCCTCGTTCTTGTCACAGGTGGGTCTGATGCCAAGGCTCTCCTCACAGGCATGGGCTCCCAGTCCAGGCCACACAGCACCCTCCAGGGTTTTGGGTACAGTCAGGAATGGGGCCGCACAGGTAAGCAGAAAGGGCCCATGTGGGCCCCCGACATCTCAGAGAGCATGGGTGAGGAGGGCGTGGATGGCACAGTGGGCAGGCCCAGTCCCTGTGGGCTCAGTCTCTTCCTGGTCATGGTTGTCCCTGTCACTCTCTGCCTGTCCCAAGAGGAGGGCAGGGCAGGTGTGGCCAGGTCTGTTTGATGAACAGGTGAGAGAAGCCAGGCTGAGAAGTTGGAGCTGGGCCTTGGGGCAGCGTCAGTTCCACCCCTGGAGGAGCCCAGCCATGACAGAAGCAGCTCAGCAGTCACCTGTGACCATGGTCACATGTCAAGTGCTCTGCGGCACTGGAACCATCTGTGTGTGGGAGGCCGTGCATCTCAGCCATGCCCTGGCACACCTGTTTGCTTTTATGGGCCCTCCTGGTGCACAGGCCTGGGGGAACCCCTGTTGACGCTGTAATTTGAGGGTTCTGCAGGGAGCTTGTAGGAGGGTTGGCCCTTTCCCCAGCACTGGACCTAACACCCTCTGAGTGAAGGGCTAAAGACCTTTTTAACTCCTTAGAACAAATTAGGATACCCTTTGCTTAGCAGGGACAGGGTCATAGCTCTGCTGTAAGCCAGGGTGTCCAGGGCAACTGGGCATGGGAGTTGCTGAAGGGGTGAGGCCTGGGTCTACCAGGAGCCCCCCCCTCTGCCTTAGCAAGGGCAGCTATGGGCATCTCCTTCCCTGAGGACAGAGAACAGGCAGGACCCAGGTGGCTGTGCCATCTCTGTTCTCCTCGGACACAGGCTCTGCAGGTGAAGCTTTCCTCTCCACCATCCAGAAGGCTGCAGAGGTGGTGGCTAATGTCGTGCGCTCTGGGACAGAGAGTCCCAGTGCCCAGAGACCCTTGCCACGGGGGGACACCTACCAGCCTGCTCTGACACCTTTGGCCAGCCATGGCCAGCCCAGCACTGGGACCCAACTGTCTGGGACCATCCCAGGCACCCGAGGTATGGAGGCAAAAGCTCTTCCCACTAGTGGTCTGGCTCCTTCCTATCATCTGCTGGGGCCCGGCGGTGGGGACTAATGACAAAGCCGCCTGCACAGCAAGGGGGCCAGGGAGGAGAGAGCAGAATCTGTGTTGGCGGGTGTCCTCTGTTTTTTGGAGCTGGAGCCAAAGTGGACACCCTGTCCTCCTGGTGTAGGGCCTGGGGAGGTAGGCAGGGCTGGCCTGACACCTGGAGAGGCTCACCTACTGTCTCTCCTTCCAGCTGTGAGGCATCAGCCTGGGCAGGCTGGAGGGGGCTGGGAAGAGCTGGATAGCGGGCCCAGCTCTCAGCGTTCTTCGCAGAATAGTGACCAGCACAGGAACTCAGACTCAAGCAGTCCATCTGGTAGCGACAGCCACTCAGGGGCCAGCCGGGAGCTGGGTGACTTGGCAGACAGGTGAACGGGAACTGCTGGTGCCAGGGAACTGTGGGGGAGCTCCTCTGCCTACCCAGAATCTTAGGCCCTTCAGGTCTCAGTCTGGCACAGGGAGGGAGGGGGCACAGCCCTCATCCTACCCTGACCTAGCTGTACCTCCCCCAGGGCTGAGGCCTCTAGTGACTGCCACCAGGAGTTAAGCCTAGTGAGGACAGTGACTGAGGGGCCACATGCCTTCCTGAGCCGAGAGGAGGTGCAGCACTTCATCAAAGAGTGAGTCTGGCCATCCAGCCCGGACAAGGGAGGAGGCAATAGGCCACCAAACACCACTCAGCTGTCTCCTCTGTGCAGGTGTGGACTGCTCAACTGTGAGGCCGTGCTGGAGCTGCTGATCCTCCACCTGGGTGGGACTAGCGAGTGTGCCCAGCTGGTGAGGGCAGAGGGTGGGAGAGCACCTATGTGCCTGTGTGTGTACATGTGTGTGCGTGCCTGTGTGTGTGTCTGTGCATCTGTGTCTATGTATGTGTGTGCCTGTGTGTACGTTTGTGTGTACATCTATGTATGTGCCTCTGTGTGCACACCTGTGTGTATGCATTTGTGTGCACTTGAGTGTGCCTGTGTATGCCTCTATGTGTACATGTGTCTGTGTGTTCCTGTGTGTGCTTGTGTTTGTGTGTGTACCTGTCTGTGCCTGTGTGTGCTTGTGTTGGTGCGTGCCTGTGTATGTGTGCCTATGTGTGTACCTGTGTCTGTGTGTACCTGTGTGTGTGCGCCTATGTCTGTGTGTGTTCCCGTGCATGCCTGTGTGCACCTGTGTGCATATACGTGTATAGTTTGCATGCACGCATGCATGCATGTGTGTGCAGGGGTGCTGTGTATAGCAACGAACATCTCTCTGGTGTTTTCTCAGCGCTAGGCTACCCTTCAGGGCAGCCCCTGGAGCTGGTGAGGGAAGGGGTGAGGACAGGTTTCTGGTGGGGCTGCCCTGGTGCCTCCCAGACTCAGTTCTTAGTGAGCGGCTGGAGGGGTGGAGGAGGAAGGCCAGATGGGCACATGAGGAGTGCACTGCCTGACACCCCATCTACCGCCCAATAGAGAGCACTGTGTGCCATCGCCTCCCTCGGGGGTACCGACTTGCTGCCCCAGGAGCACATCCTCCTGCTCTCTCGGCCAAAGCTGCAGGAGCTCAGCATGGGCAGCCCTGGACCTGTGACCAATAAGGCCACCAAGGTGGGCAACTTGGGGACAGATGGCCCCGTCCAGCATGCTTCTCAGGTCACAGGCACACAGGGAGCACAGAATGTGCATGTTCCACACCCTTCCCATCCTTGACTGGCCCTCAGTCAGCCTTTCCTGACACCTGGAGTTTGTAGTCCCAGTCCCTGACCTGTCCCCTGTTGCCCAGTGGGTAGCTCCAGCAGGGGGGCAGCATCAGGGTTCTCGCCTGTCTCAGCTTCAGCCCTGACTTCTTTCCAGCCCTCATAAGCTTCTGGGGCCTCTTCCTGATCCCGGAGCTCCCCAAGTTAGGTCTACCCGATGCCCCCCGCCCTGCCTTAGGGTGGCTCCTCCACCCCACCCTGGCTCCTACTCTTCTCCTCCTCCGGGAAATGCTCCTCAACTGCAAGTGCAGTTCTCCTGTGACAGGGTACATGCTTCCAGACCCCAGTCTCCCAGTGGCAGAAGTGACTCCTTCATCCGTGGGCACTTCCCCCACAGCCTTGAGCTGAGCGGCCTCCCTCTCTAGCCAGGCACTGCCCTCTGTGTCCTGCAGCCTGCATGGCTTCTTTCTTCCCATCTTCGCTGTGGCAGTGACAGACCCTCAGTCACCTGTCCCCACATTATCCTGATCTCTCCTCAGTCTGGGCAGTGGGACTGAGAAGGGCCCTTGGGGACAGATGGCCCCGTCCAGCATGCTTCTCAGAGCCACAGGAGCCTCACCAGTTCATTCTTCTCTATCTTGCAGATCCTGAGGCACTTTGAAGCCTCCTGTGGACAGCTGCCTCTGGCCTGGAGGCCCCCTGCGGAGGCTGGCCCTGCAGGCACCCTCACAGGCCCATCTGACCTGCTAGCTGAAGCTGTGCCTCCTCTGGGGGGCCGCGTCTTCCTCCAGCCTCTGAGTTCAGCCCTGCTCCCACCTGGGGGTCACCTGGCCCCCTGCACCGTGGACGGCAAGGCTGAGGCCAGACAGGCAGGTTCTCAAGAACAGGGGGCACGACTTGAGCAGGGCCCTAGGAATACAGACCCTCCAGAAGGAGGCCCCAGCAGCCACCTACCAAGCTGTGACTCCTTGTTTGCTGGCATGGAGCTGGTGGCCTGCCCCCGCCTGGTGGGGGCTGGGGCTGCTGCAGAAGTGTCCTGCCTGATCCCCCAGGCCCCTCAGATGTCATCACAGGGGACAGCGGCTGAAGAGCTGGAGCGGTCAGCTTTTGCATTCCTGAACATGTGACTACTGGCCTGGCTCTGGAGGGTTTCAGCCAGTGCCTGCCGGGCTGGTGCTTCCAGAGCAGCCCCTAGGATTGAGCTACTGCCCTTGGCCGGAGCTGCTGTAGACTCCAGACAACTTGACCTGAAAGCAAGACCCCAGGACTGCCTCTGTCCTGCATCTCTTTTGCCAGAGGCTGGCTGTTTAGATTTGAATTCCTTTAGTAGGGGACAGTCCATGGCAGGGCCTCCAAATTGCTGATCTCAGGGGTCCCAAGAGCAATCCTCCCCACCCTACCCCAGTCTGGCCACAGGAACCAAGCTTCTTGTGTGGAGGGGAGCTCTCACTCTGCCTGGTCTGACCTCTGCTCCCTCCTTCTCAGAGAGGCTAGTGGTGACCAGGAAGGTTTGGTGCGTGCAGCCCAAGGGGGTCTGTGGCTCCACGCTGCCTTGGCTTGTCTGGCCTTTGACTATTCTGAGTGTCCCCCACGTGCTGCCTCTGAGCTGTCATTCTGCAGCCTTTGTCACCACTGCTTCCAATAGGCCTGCCCTTGGGCTGCCTGTGGGTGATATATCCATGTCTCAGGCGCCTGCAGAGAGCTCTGGGGTTTACATTTTCTGAATAAACACTACTGTTTGCACAGAGCTGGGCCACAGCTATTTTTTTCTTTCCTTTTATGTATATGCATTTTAATGAAAGTTCCATTAATAAAGGGTACACTAAATACAGGTTTTCTTAAAAGTAGGGACAGTGGCTCAGCGCCTATGGCTCAAGTGGCTAAGGCGCCAGCCACATACACCTAACGTGGCAGGTTTGAATCCAGACCGGGCCTGCCAAACAACAATAATGGCTGCAACCAAAAATAGCTGGGCGTTGTGGTGGGTGCCTGTGGTCCCAGCTACTTGGGAGGCGGAGGCAGGAGACTCGCTTGAGCCTAGGAGTTGGAGGTTGCTGTGAGCTGTGATGCCACA